CAAATGCAGAAATGGATTCAATGCAGTCACTCCACTTCACATTTCATGCCAGTAGAAAATGTTACTAAAATATTTCTTAACAGTATTTTTAATGAAGAAAAATACAAGCTAAAGCTGACATGATATATGTATAGCTGGCCACTTAAATTCGAGAATACCCGTCTACTAGGGCAGCTAGCCAGTCCATATAGCAGACGCTTGCTCAGGCACATTTGTGTTTGTTCAACACCCAAAGAGCCCACCTGTAGTTTATAACTATGCTGAGCAGACCATAGTTACATTTTTTGGGAAAGAGTGTATTATCTTGTGTGATCATCAATTTGATCAAGGTCAGCATGCTCAAATCCTCGGTCATGATGACTTGTGACTTTGTGCTAGCACAGTTATCGCTGGCTCCCAAGGGCACCGTCTAACCAAACAAATTTACTTACAAGGCTTGGGTCAACCAGTGGTATAGTTTTCAGGCACTTGGATTGACCCCTCCAGTCCAATAACATCAGAAATTCTCCTTCCTGACAGGATCGACCATGATGAGATTTGAACTCAGATCTCATGGTCAGAAAGCGAATGTTCTAACCACTCAGACATGTACCCATATGACATGATTTATTGCTCATATAAAAACAATATATGTCCTGATGGAGGCATGGTGGACTAATGGATAGCGGCTTAGATTGAGGAATCGGAGAGCTGAGTTTGAACTCCAGTCGAATCCATTACATTCACTTATGTGCTAACCTTGTAAAAGCCTTGAATCCTCTTCTTATCCCCCAGCTATGGGTAAATAGCAGGACAGACTGGGTTCTATAGCCTTGGATGGCAACTGGCCTACCACAGAAAGAAATGGCAACCTACTGTGGGAAAAAATTTGCCTCGTCAGTCATGTATCAAAAGATGCATGATTGCCTAAGTGTGTATCACACATGGCACATAACTGATATGTCCTGAAAACTTACCAGCATCAGTTGATTCATATTGTGAAAATATGTTACATATTATTTGTCTTCACACTGATTTAATTCTTTTAATGATGCAATTAGGCATGGTTAAGTTTAATTGTTAAAAATTCTTGTAGGGGAGTTATAACTTTGAGTAAATAATTTTAAACCCCCTAACATTTATATACAGTAGAACTCCCCAAATCTGAACATAGCATAATCTAGACTTCCTCGAATTTAGACTCCTCTTCAAATCTAAACCTTTTTATTGACATAAATATGAAGCCTTTTCTTCCTCAAATCAGAACAGTACCCTCAATACGAAACATCTTGGACATTTGGTTTAGAGTTGTACTGTATATTGTTATTTTTCACTTCCTTTACAGATTGTAATTGTTTTTGAATAAGACATTTCATAAGTTTTTATACATTTCATAAAGTGTCTTAGTTTTTCATAAATTACAATATTTGTTTAGCACAAGTTTTTTCATTACTATTTGCTGTCAGTTATTTTTGGTACATTTATGTTTTCAATCTACAGTTTAAATAAAAATGAATCAACATTACAAACTACGTCTTTTGAATTATGTGCTCAGTCTTGGAACAAATTAAGCTTGTATCTCAAGTCATTACTTAGTTCACTGGTGAATGTCAAAAAGAACGAAAGAGAATAATACAGTAGAACTCCCCAACTCCAAACATAGCATGAATTAGACTTCTTTAAATTTGGATCCTTCTTCAAATCTGAACTTTTGTATTGACATAAATATGAAGCCTTTTCTTACTCAAATCAGAACATTACTCTCAATACCAAACATCTCGGATGTTAGTTTTAGAGGAGTTGTACTGTATATCTTTATTTTTGACTTTCTTTACTGATTGTAATTGTTTTTGAATAAGATAATTTATGGGTCAGTCGAGAAGCAGGAATAGAAGATGATACTCATAACAAAGACAGTATTCAAGATAGCGTTAATATTGATAGTTGCAGTAGATGTTAGACCATCAAAGTGATAATGAAACAGTATCATGGGAAAAAGCAGAGAAGCCTCTTTAAACACAACTCAAATTCATTGAGCAAAATCTTAGTTTCAATGACCACTGGAATATCCAGACACGCGCATTACAAAATGAAATTATCGAAAAGAAATTGCACAATTGTAAAGTGAAAAAAGATTGTACTCTTGTCAAAAGTTCCATAGAAACAACTGTCATGAACGCAAACAAAGAACACTGTGAAATTCAGGAAGATTTGACAATTGACAAATGATAAATTTATAACTATCATAAATTTTTAAACATTTCATGAAGTATCTTAGTTTTTACAAATTACAGTATTTGTTTAGCTCAAATTTTTTCATTACTATTGGTTGTCAGTTATTTTTTGTACATTTATGTATTCAATGTAGACTTTAAATAAAAACGAATCAACGTTACAAACTACCTTTTGTATCCTAAACTCTAAGACTTAATAAAACTTTTCTTCCTTGAATCCGAACTGTACTCTCAATACCGAGCATCTTGGATGTTTGGTTTAGAGGAGTTGTATATACAAAAATACTCGTAAAAATGAGAAACAACAAAATGAGTATTATTTATTACTAGCAGTAGAGCCCGGCGTTGCCCAGGGATGTAACAGTAAGAGATAGATCAAGTATCGACCATCATAAAGACTGAAAAATAAAATTGACAAAGATTATTGTTTAAGGTTGACGGACACACATGTCTTAATTAGTTTTTTTTTTTTGTTTAATTGGTAAAACCCAAACTCAAACAAAAACATTGTTTTCAATTGTTATGAGTCTACCGATTGAATAGAATTTTTATTATAAACAATTGTCTTGTAAATGGAATTTTAAAGCATTCTGAATGTAAAAATAAAAGAAAAAAAGTGTGCAAGACAATAAGAAACACTACCTGCCAAAAAAGTGAAGTTTTGTTGAAATCGGTTGAAAAATGTAGGAAATCCGATCCCATATATAAACGAACACAGACACACACACACACACACACACACACACACACACAACCTGGGTTTTATAATAAGCATAACTCGATATGAGTTGTCCCCCTTTCATTCTCGTGATGCCTCTTAATTGTGTTTTCAAATTGATTTCATGCAAAAACAATTGTGTTTTTCCAATTTTTGGCACTGTTAGAACCACCGCAAGGTAATTTTACGTAGTCCTGTGAAGTTTTGTTGAAATCTGTTGAAAAATGTAGGAAATCTGATCCAATATATAAATGTACAGACACACACACACACACACAATCTGCATTTTATAATAAGTAACATTATCTGGTTGTTATGTGGGGTTGAAGATATGAGAGATGGTTTTTTTGGGGGGGGGTTTAGCAGCAGATCAACACATCTATGGTTTATTTGAACACAATTCAACTACAGATAAAATATACTAAAAATTTATTAAAATATATTATAAAAGGTTAATTTTACTGTAAATTTATATTGTTGGTAATTTTTTTATATAAAAATGTATTGCTGGTCTTTTTACTATAAAAATGTATTGTCATTTTTTCATAGTGTTTTGATTTTGTTAAGGGGTTCACTATTTACCTATAGCGGGGACACTAACAAGTGCTACCATCCCAGGTCAGGGTGGATCTGTTTAGAACAGCAATTAAGAAGTAGTTCCATGCTCCTGAAAACATCAAATCTACCAATAAGAAGCCTTGCTACCGGATGTAATTTATCATCATACCCAGGACTAACGAGAGATAGTAATACTGAGTATAATTATGAGTTTGGGGTCAAATATAGATCAAATATGGATCAGAATCTGACAGAATGATAAGATAAAGAATATGTAAAGTGTATACAGTCTTTCTCATAAGTTTTTTTTTTTTTATAGATGTGTGCAATAAGGGTCCAGATAATTTGGTTGGAAAATGCAAAAAATGTTTGAGGTTTTCTTACCTTGAATTTTTGTTGAGTGTTAAGAGATAAATGTTACTAGTATGATCTGAAAAAGAAAAAGGAGCTGAAATTTTTGTTGACACACATATTGACAGCTTGTCTGTGTTGATTGCCTGTCTGATAATGAGAGCATCATGTGTTTGCGAGTTTAGAGGAGAAAAGTGGATTGATCCTCATTTTAGAAAAAGTGAATTAATGATAATTATAATTGTTATGATTATTTTTGTCACAATAATTAATGTTTATTTATATTTTATGGACACTACACTGTGATGGTATAATTAATTTTTTTATTTACTGTATATGCTCATGTATCATGTGACTTTTGAAGACCTAGTTTTGAAGCTAATTTGACTACAGTAAAGGGATGTATAGTTTAGTCAATGGCATAGCCAGGGCCAGCAGTATATAAGCTAATTTTATATCTCGGGTATGATGCGACCCGCTTAAAATTAGCTTCAAAATTAGGTCTTCAAAATTTGCATGATATGCAAGTACATATGGCATGTATTTCTTTATGGGCACATATGGCCAACAAATCAAATAGACAGTTTTCTGTAAATAATTAGAAAAGGAAAAAACAGACCAAGGCCAAATAATACAAAGCAAACAATGTATATGCAAGTCAAAACTAGGCAAAGCAACAGTAATAAGGCAAAAAGTTCACAAAAATAAGAATTGGTGTTCACACACAAAAGGGATACAGTCAAGTGATTGTAGCGTTCTGACTTAAAGACAAGAAAGAACATGCCGGATGAGACTAAGATGTCCATTTTTATTGGTCTGGTTGGGGAACCCCAGAAGTACAAAAACGAGCTGTTAAAGGGTGGAATGAACTCCTCAAAGGCAGTAGCTATCCACCCCTACTTAAATACAGTTACACTCCTAAAGACATGGTCAATCAGGGGCAAGTTCCTCCAACAACAGTGAAAAAGCCCTGGTACACTCCTGAAAAGAAAGTTAACCAGGGAGAGGCTCCCCAACAGGATTTGGAGGAAAAAATCCCAGCATGCATTTGTCTATAAATGTAGAGAGGGTGATATTTTTAGCAGTCATTCCTGGAATTGAAACCAACAAGGTTATCTGGAATTGAATGTATTAACTAAATTTCTTTTTTCTTTTTACAGCAATTTTCAGAAATTGTCTTCGGACGACCAGAGCCACGACTGCATTTGAAAATCTTTGCCGGACATCGTTTCATTCCTCTCAAGTAATTGTTTCTCAGAAAGACATGAAGATTCGACTACTTCCAGCCTTGAAGGACAATTACATGTACCTGCTTATTGATGAGGGGACCAAACTCTGTGCAGCCGTAGACCCTGTGGAACCTCAGACGGTAATTAAGATGTGCATGCTATGGGGAGGCAGAGCAGTTAAATGTAACAACCACATAAACACTTGCTCAAACCAACAGTCTCGTTTTCATTGTATGGCTAGAAGTGCTCCCCATCAGTTCTTTTTACTATTGTTCAGCTAGTCCAAGGCTCAAGAGCCACTCAATGTAGATGGTTACCTGAATGGGGTTTTGTTGTAAGGGGCTACAAAGAGATGCAAATGGTGCATGTTATGAGAATTAATACTCTCATAATATGAACCAACTTGGGTATGATACGACCTGCTTAAAATTAGCTTCAAAATTAGGTCTTCAAAAGTTGCATGATATGCAAGTACATACGGCATGTATTTCTTTATGGACACAACAGCAAACCGAATAGACAGTTCCTATAAATAATTTGAAAAGAGAGAAAAAGACCAGGGTGAAATAATATGAAGCAAACACTGTATATGCAAGTCAAAACTAGGCAAAGCAACAGTAATAAGGCAAAAAGTTCTCAAAATAAGGGAACAACTGTTACCTAATGATAAGAGTTGTTCTTCATTTGAAGAGGTTAAGGTTGTGATTGGGGAAGCATCCTCTCAGGAGTCCATTCTACAATGTAACAGTTGTTCAATTGAACATCTGTCATGAAAATAGAGAGTAGTGATAGGCTAGTAATGTTTTATCTGTGGGAAAGAATGGAAAATAATTCCTCACCCACAAGGCCACATAAATGCTTTCAGAGGAATTTAAGGTGTGAACTGACTTTTTCAACAAAAGGAAGTTTGATGGATTTACATTCTTTTTATTTCCTGGCAAAGCAATTTCGAGAGATGTGGGAAATGCCAAAAGAGGCATGGAAATGTTCTGTGAACCCACCTCTTATCTTACTTTAATGATGGCAAGGTACATAAGAGGTTAGTAAAGGTCAGGCTTGTTCATCTCTTCAGTTGGAAATAATCATCTTCAGTTTTGAGCAGTATTTAAAAAAACTAGTAAAATTTTTAAAAATATTCACCTTTTGATATATCTAGTTGATTTTGTCATGTAAGTAACAGGTTCTGTTGTATTTATCCTATATAGGATTAATATTTGTATTAGCTCTTTTGCATTAGTGTCTACTATATGGGATTAATACTTGTGTTAGCACCTTTGGAGTAGCATCTCCTATATGGAATTAATATTTGTGGTAGCACATTTGGATTAGCATCTACATGGGATTAATACTTCTCTTAGCACCTTTGGATTAGTGTCTCCTACATGGGATTAATATATGTGTTAGGGCTTTTGGATTAGTGTCCCCCAAAAGGGATTAATATTTCTGTTAGCTTCTTCGGATTAACATGTATATAAGATTAATACTTGTCTTAGCATCTTTGGATTAGTGTCTCCCATATGGGATTAATACTTATGTTAGCTATTTTGGATTAGTGACTCCTATATGAGATTAATACCGGACTTAGCACCTTTGGATTAGTGGCTGATATATGGAATTAATATTTTTGTTAGCTCCTTTGAATTATTGTCACTTTTGACTGTCTTTTTGATAAATATTTTTTTAGTGGACATGAAGGTTAAATGTTGCCAAAATTTATTCATTAAATTTTTTATTTACAAGAATCATGTTTAGCACTTTTGTTGTCAATTCTCAAGAAAAAAGAAAATGCATAGGTCCAGTTTTGGGTTTTATTAAAACAATAATTGCCAATTAAAGCAGTGTCAAGAGAAAAACTATCCTTTTGTCACTGTTTTTTTTGCTGGTACATATGTGAAATAGGGCAGGTCAATTTTAGGACTGGTATTGCACTCAATTTGAAAGTTGGGGTTTGTCATGGTAAATAATGACACAAAATACTTTTTTCCAAATTGTTAAGTTTTTTGAGGAAATGATTTTAAAGATTAAGTTCCGGTTCAAAATTGTAGCATTGGAATTCCATTTCAATGATCAGTGAAAGTTTTATAACACAGCCTTATAAAATTTATAATTTACTGAAGCATTACAAATTGTATAGGGACAAGATTTATAGCACATTATTAACAAACAATTTTCCCATCAAATAAGACCTTCATTTACTTCAAAGGGAAATTATGCTGAACAATTTAGCTATATTATGATGTAATGTTATACAGTGCAGGAGTTTTAGTGAGATTTTCAATAAACAATGCAAATTTTTAAAAAATTGCTCTTATAATTTGTGCCCAGCACTATTATGGTGTTATATACATTTTTAATTATTTTTTATTTTTATTAATTATGATCCTAACAAATTTTATTCATAGAGAAGTCTTGTATTGTAATCTTTTTCAATTTTTACAGTTTTTATTTATTGAATACAGTAAAATAATTGCATATTTTGCTTGTGATGATTCTTAATTAGAATTTTGATTTGAATATATTTACCATTCAATTTATCTAATGCAAAATAATAACAACTTTATTTGGATTTATTTTTGAAATAGTAAAATTTTGAAGTCAGTTTGTAAGCAAAAACCTGTGAAAATGAGGTATATCCAGTTGATCTTTAAAACTAAATACTCAAAAATTGGTAAAAGCTATAAATCTAATTTTTGATGTCAGTACTTATCACATCAAACCCCAGCTTTCAAATCAATACTGATTTTCTAAAATAAAGTGAAAAATCAGCCTGTGAAACTTTGCCAAAAACATTATGTTATTTAAAATGCCATATAAAATTTTGTTCTTAACAAGTATTCAAAAATGAATTATTTAATATTATTTTGTCAAGATGCAAGAATTTCTAGAGGTGCTGCTGGTAACAATCAATTTTTTTTAATTTTCAGATTATGTCTGCTGTTCAAGAAGAGGGGGTGAAGCTGACCACTATTCTTACAACTCATCATCATTGGTAAATATAACAAGTAAAAATGATATGGAAAAGTTTAATCTTTGCCATCATTACACCAAATTAATCCTTGATTGTTTTTGCATTTTATCTCTGTTTTGATCATTGAAAGTGCATCTATAAACTGTTTTTTTTATATAGTTTAGAATCTATAACACCCAAAGATAAAAGCTTATAGCAAGATTATTAATTCCTGAAAAGAGATAGTATAGTGTTGGGAAGGAAAACCCTGATTTTAAACTTCCTCTGTGACCATGAAAACGACTGGAAGTAAATCTAGACAAAAAAGTCAAAGTAGAGCACACATGTCCTCCAAGAGGCAGTTGGCTGTCAACACCGACAAACTTCCAGAAAGTCCTTCAATCAAACTAGCTCCAAAGGAAATTTCTTGTATTCCTTTGGTGCTTGTAGGTATGGTCAGGAATGGGGCCAAGGAGTCTGGACAGTGCATAGCTTCCATACAGTATGTATGCAGATAAATAACATAAATATATATATTCACATACCCACATAGATAAAAGAAAAAGGTTTTTTTTTTTTTTTTCAATCATTACACTTGCAAGCAAGGCCATAATGCCATTAGGATGCATGGGGTTATATATAATTTATGGTTATGTATACATGTATGCGTGTGTGTGTGTATATATATATATATATATATATATATATATATATATATATATATATCACAACTATTTAAAATGCTTGTTTTTTTGTCCTATAGTAAAATCCAACATGCCATTTGAACGAAATATTAGGCATAAAATCCCATTCGTCAGTAACGTTTTAAACCCCTCATAGAATGCAAAGTTCTCAAAGCACACCTGTACCAAACTGTTTACCTGAATCCTTGATGACTTGGCTGTCTGAAAATGACAAGATCAAGATGAAATAATGGAAACTGACTGTGGAAAACACAATTATGTGCAACAAGTTTTCAATCAATCAGTAAACTTCTAGATGTTTTTGGACCATGTTATAAGATCCAGACAGCTATTGTTTGCACATGGAATTATTCATTGGTAATTAATCTTCAATTTGGCTGTGAAAAATGTCACTTGGGGGTTAGCATTAAAAAATTATGGCCAATTTTCCGATAAAAATCACCTTTTTTTTTTATGAAAAAATATTTTTTTTTACTTCAAAACAATTTTTTTAAAACTTCAATCCTCTCTCCTTAAGTTGGTGTGAACATCATTGAATAAAATAAACTGTTATATGACCCAACAATGGGAAATATGAAAAACATGCGGCGAAAAAACAATGTTTTCTGCTAAGTATTGTTGTCATCACCCGGGTCACGTGGTGTTAAAAAACAAAACACATCAAGGTTTGAAAAAAAAAAAAACCTATATCAAGCCTTTTTTTACCAATATTTCTTTTTTTTTTTTTCACTCTTTGCTCTTGTAAGTGGTGGGATTTACAATCTGATGACAACTTGTTCAACGTTTATCACTGGCTGGCTGGTCTTTGACCCAGACATGTCAAAGTCAATTTGGTTTAATTTTTCTTATTGCTGCTATAAACTCCTGATTTCCAGTGGTCAGGAATTGCAGATAAATCTTTCACCTTTTACTAAAGATTTTTGTGGCCAGGTGTCAATTTTTTTAACCCCTGGCAGCTATATAATTGAAAATTACCAATGGTCTTTGTCACATTTTGACCCACTAGGAATGTTGTTTTCCTTCAAACTCTCAATTTTATGTCTGAAATAGTTTAATTATGATTTAGGCTTTCTGATTTCCCCCCCCAAAATGGTTAATTTCCCATTATTCGGTAAATTTTTTTGTTTAGAACTAGAAAATTTTCACTATTTTTTCACAATTTAACCCCTGAAAAATTTTTTGAGTCATTTACACGAGCCAATTTTACTTTTAAATGAAAGAACATATTGTTTGTTTTCAGAAAATTCCTAGTTTCATGGGGTTCAGATCATAAGTTTCCTTGATATTTTGTTTAGTCATTTTTCAATATTTTACCTCCGATAAAAGTATGAAAATCCATTTTTTCAGAGAAAATAAGCTGTGAATTTACTTTATTTAAGTTTACAGGAACCCTCAAACAGCTGTGATATATATATATATATATATATCAACAGGTAGTGTAAATCAACTTAGTAACAAATGTTTTATTTGTATTAATTATATATCTATATATATATATATATATATATCAAATATAAATCAACTTAGTAACAAATGTTTTATTTGTATTAATTATATATCTATATATATATATATATATAATTTATATATATATAGATATATAATTAATACAAATAAAACATTTGTTACTAAGTTGATTTACACTACCTGTTGATATATATATATATATATATATATATATATATATATATATAATTTATACAAATAAAACATTTGTTACTAAGTTTATATATATATATATATATATATATATATATATATATATAATAATTAATAAAATAAAACATTTATTTACTAAGTTTATATATATATATATATATATATATATATATATATATATAATTAATACAAATAAAACATTTGTTACTAAGTTGATTTACACTACCTTCAATATCCCACCTCCAGAGTTTTGTAGACTTACCCTCTGGAAATCACTTAGTTGACTGCTTATACTAGTTGATTTTTCTTTTTTATATGCACTTTTTATTGGTGCAAGTTTTTTTTTTTTTTTTTTTTTTTTCATAGTATAGGTGTGCATTTACACCTGTGCACTGTATGCACAGAATGTTCTGATTATTTGTCCTTTTCATCATTCTTTTCACTTTACACTCACTCCTTAACCATATATATATATTATCCCTCACTGGTGTATATATATGTATATATAATCCTTAAGTTAAAATACTACAATACCAACTAGCTATAATACAAATAGAGATAAAACAAATGAACACACAGATGGACAGACACTCTCCAAGTCTGCTCAGTAGGAGGTGATAAGTTAGGGTAATTAATTTGTTTTATGATACCTGCTGAACCTCAGAGATACCCAGGCTTTTTCCTCACACACAGTTTTGTCTTTCATTTTAAACTGTGGAAGCCAAAGAGAGTGTGGGTTATCCCACTTGATTTTGCCAAAAAAAACTGTTACTAAAGGAAAATACCTGAGGATCTCTGAGGTTTAATGGGTATCATAAATAAAATTAATTACCCTGACCAAATTATTAATAATAATTAATAATTACCCTATACCAATGTCTGAGTCTCTGTGAAGGATATTCCGGTCCACTCAGTGATATTGTCAGCCCATGTTTTTCTCTGTAACTTCTTTTGCCCAAGGAGGTATCTCACAGGATGGTAGTGAAAAGATTATTTTTCTATTGAGAAATTGTTCAAAAACAATTATTTCAAAAACATTTATCTGAATTGTAAATTGTTTGAATGAAAATTAATTGAAATGGTAATTATTTAAAATACCTATGTGGTCTTGCTTTGAGAAAGTCGATGCTGATTTACCTAGAACTAATAATGCCCTTGACGGATGGTATAGGGCTCTTTTGCTAAGTGTCATCCCATCATTCCAAAATATCGAAATTCTTAGATGCTCTTAAAAGAGAACAGGACTTGGAAGAAATTCATATTGCAAAAGTAAGATCAGGCTGCCAAAATATCAAGAGCGCTAAGAAATACTCCAATATAAATGGAAAACTTAAAAAATTAGTGGAATTCTTTAACAAGTACTCTTTAGTAGTTGACTATTTGCGTGTAGTATCATACAACGTAAGGTTATAAGGAATTTTTCTTAATAATTGTTTTATTAACGATATTTGTATTTCAAATAACTATCATTTGTGTATTTCCTCTTTCAATTTTTACATTTTTTATTGCAATAAAGAATTGCATTTCAAATAATTATCATTTAGTATAATGGTCCTTTCAATTAATTTTCATTCAAACAATAAATGTTTTTCAAATAATTGTTTTCAAACAATTATTTTCAAACAATGTTCACATAATCATTATTTTAATAGGTATGCAAACTACTTTAAGGCCTTATATCAATTCTATAGAATTTTGATTGTACAAATAAATATCAATATTTGTAATTTTTCTTTTTTTTTTCCAGGGACCATTCTGGTGGTAATGTAGGTCTTGTGAAGCTAGTTCCAGGGCTTGATGTTCTTGGAGGGGATGAACGCATTGAAGCACTGACCAAAAAAGTTACTCATGGTGATGAGATTAAGGTAACAGAAAATTTTTTTTTAATCATGGTGATGAGATTAAAGTAACAGAAAATTTTTTTTTAATCATGGTGATGAGATTAAAGTAACAGAAAATTTTTTTTACTCATGGTGATGAGATTAAGGTAAAAGAAAACGTAAAGTTTTGTAATGGATGGATCTCTGCTTGAGGAGATATACAATTTCTGAGACACATTTTCACTGAAAAATGAACAATAGTGGAATCATACTGATAATGAAGGTACTTGATAACCGAGGTTTCACTGTAAAGACCAAACTTCTCATTTCTTATTATTTTAACTGTTTCCTATAGCCAAAATGTGCCTTTACCAAATCAACCGCAGAGACTACTTTTATAGAGCAAGGTTTGATTTATCTATTTAAAGAATGCACATTTCTTGTTGGGTCTTCTACAAATCTATATCTGTTAGCTTCAGTTTCATATCTGAAACATAAATAACAGTTATTTTTGAATGGATTTTTTTTATCTGACATTATTTCTATAAAGGTTATTTTTTATGAGGGTAAATGAAAAAATAATGGCAATTTCCATACAACATGTTTATTTCCACCGACGAATATATCATTTTTCAACATAGTCCCCTTGCACAGGGAGGCTGTTGAAATGTTGAGTGTTTCCCCGTGTGTGTATTGAAATAAGGACAAACACATACGTAGGGAAAAATACTGGTATATATGAAGAGGTATTTACAACAGAGAGATTAGTAGTCAAACGAACGCAGGTTAGTCAGTAACAATCAGAAAGAGTATAAAGTCCAACTGTATCTTCCGGTAGAGAGACAGAAGTGTGATGGTCACCTGATCTCCCAGAACTCTATAGAACTGTCCTATTAGTAGTAGAGAGATCAGTCCATTCTGATGAGAAGATGGGAGGCCCCATAAGAGGCTCTTTTGCTATCGTTGAACAAACTTCTTCATCTTTTCTGAAAAGAAACTTTACAGTCGCTCAAAACTTTACAGTCTGCTCTACTTGTTTGTTTGGGTACCCAACGTGGGCAAAATTTACAGTACCCCAAATCATCATGTATTACAGTTTGTTCCCACAATTTCTAACACATGTGCTGACATGGTTTATTGGTCTCCCCTGATCAAGTCATCTGCCCCACTTTTGGTTATGTTCTTCTGAGCGTGACTTTGATGGGCGACCAGATTGGCTTTTATTCATTGCACCTGTTCTTCCCACTTTGAAGCATCCTACCCACTCATACATGTTTTGCTGATTCATAGTGTGTTCCCCATACTGCAGCAACATCCAGTAATGGATTTCTATAGTTTTGAATCCTGTATGTTTGATTTGAATCAAATTCCAGTCAAATCCATTACATTCACTTACGTACTAATACCCTTGGGAAAGGTATGAATCCTCCTCTTCTCCCTCCAGCTATGGGTAATTAGCAAGACAGACCGGGTTCTATAGCCTTGGATGACAACTGGTCTAGGAGAAGGACAACTCTGAATTCAAAACCTGTGGAGGGTCGTTTGGGGACCTTGTGGCACATAGCACACCAGGTCTCTGTATTCTGCCCTTTAAAAAGTGTGGTTGGTTCTGCACAAAGCCTTCACCACTATAATCAAATCATATGTGCTAGTGTCTTGGCTGTTAGTTCCTAGGAACTGAGCTGCTTGACCCTCATATGTCGAATACAACGGGAGAGTCCACCATGTTTGATTTAATTTTTTAAATGGTGTAATCAATGACTGGCCTAGATTGTGAAGTCCAACTAAGGAAAAATTGACAAACATAGGCAAACATGCTGGCAATAAGATGGAGTGTCAAAGTGTTTTTTCCCATGACACTGACTTTTTTAACTAACTTCACTCTTCAGCAGTGTTTATTTATGTTATCCCTGATTTCTAATTTTCTTCTATGTTCCATGTTTCTTCACCATGTTGGAGATCATGGCTCTCAACAACATCCCATCCTTTGTAGCCTATTTAAAGAATCCCCCATCTGTCTTTAAAACTTCTAAGATTCTATATCAACTAGCTTCAGTTTTTACTTTTACTGAAAAGAAACAAAAGAAGCTATAGTTTCAAGAAATATCTTTTATCTTTCGATGGTACTTGCACCAGAGTTCGAGATGTATGATGATAAACTACATCCAGCAACAAATCCTTTGATCGGGAAATTGAAAGTTTTGAGGAGCATAGTACCACCTGTTAATTGCTGTTGTTCCCAGGTCTACCCTGACACGGGTGGTAGCACCTGGTCGGGTCCCAGCTATGGGCAAATAGTGAACCCCCTGTTATATCCCCAGTTGTTGGGATGAACAAATCAAATGAAAATAAAAGACACATGTATTTTTAACACATGATAAAATAACTTTTATTCATTTACTGCCTGAGAACAACAAGGATTATTTGGATTTAAACCATGAGTTCCATGTGTGTGTGTCAGCTTATCACCATTTTGAATTCAGAAGTGCTGCAGTCCAACTAGCGGACAACGGACCTAACTCAATTGTATTGTGAGTTATCATCCCTTTATAAGGGGAAGTAAGTAACTCCCCCAAAGAAAAACAAAACACTATAAAAAAGTATAAAACTACATTTTTATAGTAAAAATAACCAGCAATACATTTTTATATAAAAGAAATGACCAACAACACGCACATACTAACAAATTGTAGCAACTTCACCCAAATCTGTTTAAAATACTACCAAACAATCAACATGAAAAACTCTTTCATGACATTAGTCCATATAATATCCTACAATTTCATAAATTAAACTGTATTACACAATATAACTTCAACAAAATTACAACATAAAACACACATATCACCACCTCTATTAATTATGTCCACACAAACATGTATATGCACAAAAGCTGAGTATCATCTACCATGTATTCAGCTGTGAAAGCAGAATAACATATAATATTTTTATTACTTCCAAGAAAATTAAATATCAGCATTAAAACAACCCATAAAGTGTTGATGTGCCTTTAAACAAACAAATCAATCAACACTTGCACCTGTAGCCATCCCACATTTTGACTATTCTGGGTTTTTTTATATACATTTTTCAATAATCTATGTTCTGTATTGCTTCATGCACTCCAAAATAGGTTGCCGATAAAGAGGCTTCACTCCCTGGTTTATTACTTTTCTGTTTAAAAAGAGGAAAAAAACAAAAAACTGAATTGAAATCAGAGTTTACACACTTTGCTATTTACTTATATCTTTGATTGGGGAAGAAGAGATGGATTCTTGACTTTTCCAAGGGCATTAGTGTCAAATGAATAGAAACTTGTTTCAGTCAGAGTTTAAAATAAGTTTACCATATCCATTTTCAAAGCTGTTAAGCATTAGGCCCCCTTCACCTTTGAAGAGGAAAGAGTGTTTTGTATATCATCAAGTATTAATTTTTCTTTTTTTATCTTCCTTGCTAGCTGGGTAGTTTGAATATCAAATGCCTGTTTACACCTTGCCATACCACAGGACATATTTGTTACTTTGTTACAAGTGAGGATTTTGAACAACCTGCTGTTTTTACAGGTAAGTTTTGTTTTTTCTTTTTACATGTCTAATCTCTTTTGATATGTCCTTCACCATTTATATCTAGAGCATGATAAGCTCTTTCCACAAATATTTTCTTATATATATATAATATTTTAGTTAATAGATAAAAGAAAAGTTCAAAAGTTTTTTTTTATATATATATATATATATATATATAATAAAAAGATAAATGTAAATAAATGTACATACAAGTGTTCACATATATATATATATATATATATATATATATAAATATTATGAAATGGACAAAGTACGACAATTATTTTAAGACATTCTGTTTTATAATAAACAATATTTATAACATTTACCAGCCTGAATGTCCGAAAAATTTTCATAGAAAATATTCGTCCTCCAACAAGAATTGAACCTGTATCCTATACGGAACCGTCATTTAGCTTGATGTGCTCTTAACCAATCGAGCCACAGAGGATCGTTCAATTAGCAAGGTTGAATTTACTGCCTTTAAACTTCATATATCTATATATTGTATCTATAAAAAGAATGTATAAACATAAAAATGTCTTAAAATAATTGTCGGACTTTGTCCATTTCATGTGTGACGCCATTTGTTTATATTTTGATATGCTTTGAGCAGATATGAATGTACGTCAGAGATTCATGGAAGATTGAAGTTTAAAGGCAGTAAATTCAACCTTGCTAATCGAATGATCCTCTGTGGCTCGATCAGTTAAGATCACATCAGGCTAAATGACGGTACCGTGTAAGATACAAGTTCGATTCCTGTCAGAGGACGAATATTTTCTTCACCTGCTACCCAAAGGATTTTCCTCACGACATTAGTTTTAGTGGGAAAAGTCAGATACTTTTTTAATTCATATATATATATATATATATATATATATATATATATATGTATGTATGTATGTATGTGTGTGTGTGTATGTTTGTGTGATAAAATATAGTTTTAAGGTATACTATATATATATATATATATATATATATATATATATATATATGATAAAATATAGTTTTAAGGTATGCTATATTTATGGGTTAAAGTGCTCAATAGAGTGTATGTAAATATAAACGTGAACAATGAAGTCAACACCCAGATATAAATGCAATCATCAGGCCTGATGATTCCATTTAGCATGAAACAGACTATCACCTCTGGGTGTTCACTTCAATGTCCACTTTTATACATACATACATACATACACACACACACACACACACACACACACACACACACATATATATATAGATTGAGTAATCGGAGAGCCGAGTTCGAATTCCAGTTGAATACATTACATTCACTTACGTGCTAATACCCTTGGGAAAGGTATGAATCCCCTTCTCCCTCCAGCTATGGGTAAATAGCAGGACAGACTGTGTTCTATAGCCTTGGATGGCTACTGGTCTAGGAGAAGGACAACTCTGAATTCAAAACCTGTGGAGGGTCGTTTGGGGACCTTGTGGCACTTAGTGCACCAGGTCTCTGAATTTGGCCCTTCTAAAAGTGTGGCTGGTCCTGCACAAAACCTTCACCACTATAATCAAATCTCATGTGTTGTTGTCGGGCTGTCGGTTTCCTGGGAACTGATCTGCTTGACCCTCATGCGTCTAACTTGACGGGAGAGTCAACTATATATATATATATATATATATATATATATATATATATATATATAGTGTTAATTTGGAATACTATTTTTAAGCCAAAATTGCTGGTTTTTCTGTGGTATTTTTCAGGTATTTAAGAAAAGCAAGCTTTGTGGTAGAGTGCTCAATATTGAAGATAGAATGTTAATAGAATTAAGTGAAAAAACGTTTTCATCTTCATTCTACATATATATATATGTGTGTGTGTGTGTGTTGAAAGTTGGTTCCTATAAGAAGCTCATCTGTCTTGTGGAGTGACATGACACCCTCCTCACCAGCAAAATAGCTAGCGGGGCAGTTGGTATAGATGCAAACCACCTTAATATATTTTATAATTTATTTCTCTCTTTTTTTGTAGGTGATACTTTATTTGTTGCTGGGTGTGGCCGTTTCTTTGAAGGTAACCCTCAGCAGATGTATCATGCCTTGATAGAAGTTCTTGCATCTTTGCCTCACAACACAGTAAGTTACTCCAAAATAATTTTCGTTTTTTTCTCCCACCATAAACTTTGTTTTTCAGGATGAAATTTTTTTGTACTGAAATACTTCAACTCTTTTCATCATTGTTCCAGAACCATCCACCAAATATTTAAAACTCTTCTGAAATCAAAATGGCTTACAGCCATATCACCAAAGTTAAGCAGCATGGAGCCTGGTCAGTACCTACATGGGTGACCGCTTGAGAATACCATGTGCAGGTGGTGTAAAGTGCTTATGGCCATATCACATTGAAATACCGGTTCTCATCCAATCACCAATGTTAAGCAACGTTGATCCTGGTCAGTACATAGATAGATGACCACATGCTGTAAGCTTGACTGTGTGGATAGTATAAAGGGCTTATGGCCATATCACGTTGAAACACTAGTTCTCGTACAATCACTTAAGTTAAGCAATGTCAACCATGGTCGGATCCTAGATGAGTGAACACTTGGGAATACCAGGTGCTGTAAGTTTGGATGTGCAGGTGGTGTAATGGATAATGGCTTGAAATTGATAATTGGAGAGATGAGTTCTAATTCCTGTTGTGTTTGTTATATTCACTTATACATAAATACCCTTTGGTAAGGTATGAATCCCTTTCTTTCTCCAGCTATGGGTTAATTAATAAGACTTGTATCACTAAGTCATTATTATCTTCAAAAACATTCTTACAATCTAAAATTGTTTTCTGACTTTAAATAACCTGCAACAGATTGATAAGCCATAAATGAATCAATGAAATACACATCAGATACACAGGCATGTCTTTTAGATTTATTTACATTCTCTGGAATATAAATGTATAGAAACTACCGTGGCCACAAAGTGAAGGATCAGTTAATATATCGACTGTAATATAGAATTGATCCCCCACTTTATATCCACATTTTAATTTCTTGTTAGTTGATAAGCCATAGAAAAGGAATAAAATACTGATTAGCTACACAGACATGTCTTTTACATTCTCTGGAATATAAATGTATAGAAACTACCCTGGCCACCATTGATCCCCGACTTTATATCCACATTATAATTTCTTGTTTTTTATCAAGTTCTGATTAGGTATGATTTCACCTTTTCTCCCCTCCAGCTATGGATTAATTAGTAAATCTTGTATCACAAAACCATTATCTCTTGCAATCTAAAAATACTTTCTGGCTTTAAATAACCTGCAATGGGTTATTTAAAGTTGTAAAAAAAAAATAATAAAAAACTACCTCTGTACTCTATATACTTTATTCACTAAATGTAACAACTGGTAATAATAATTGCTGGCTGCTCATTTCCAGTGCCACTATCTGCTAGTTCTACTAGTTGCAGCACAAAGTTACAAGTCATTGTGACTGAGGATTTGATAATACTGGCCTTGTTCAACTACTGATTACACTAGATTTTGTGGTTTTTCTCCCACAAAATGTAAGATCTGTTAAGCATTGTGGCAGCATAAAACACAGCTTGACTCTGGGTATTGAATAAACACAAATGTGCCTGAGCAGTTGTCTGCAATCAGGGTTACTTAGCAAGAAGTCAAATGGTATAGTCAACGAGGGTGCGAGCGTTCTAGCCTCGTTCAACTACCAATTCTACCAGATTTTGTGCAGATGCCAGCACAGGCCCATTCATGTTTCTTCAGCACCCAGAGGGCCAACATATCGTTCATATTGCAACTATGCTGAGCAGATCTTACTTCCAGTTTCTGGGAGAGAGCACAAAATTTGGCGTGATCAGCAGTTGAACAAGGCTAGTATGATTAGATCCTCATTAACACTGACATGTGACTTCCAGTTAGCTAATCCTTGTTGCCAGACCCCTGCTTAGGCACATTTATGTTTCTTCAACATCCACAAAGACAAACTGTGTTTTATTTTCTGATTGTGTTGAACAGACCTTAGTTATAGTTTATGAGAGAGAGAGTGCAAAATCTGATGCAATCAGTAGTTGAACAAGTCCAGTATGCTCAAATCCTCAGTCACGATGACTTGTAACTTCATCCTACCACAGTTATCAATAGTGCCACATGCTAGGATCATCTCTCCAGGTTGATATTATGAAGAAATCACCTCAATAAATCAACCCTGGTGAGATTTGAACCTATGTCTTAAGGTGGGAATACTAGCATTCTAACCACTTAGCCATCCATCCATCCACTGGGATAGAACTAGTGCTACATTCACCAAGTTGGATGAAAATGACAACTTACTTCCTTGGCTAAAAATTATGTCAAAAACTCCTTGAGATTAAGTTGTTTATATAAAGACCTATTCATCAGATTTATGTGGTTTCTTATACAAAACATTTTTGGAACATTATTTTTCTTCTGGAAAAGTCAATGTTTTGTATACATAAATACATAGTTGTTAGTGGTTTCATACAAAAAATATTTTTCTATAAATACTTTCATGGTAATTGTTCTGATGACCTTGACTTTATGAATTTAAGTGCAGTACTAGATTGGCAGCAAGGTCTCATCATTTTACCATTGAAATGGCTAGATGTAAATGCAAGTTCTATGCTAACAGTTTCTTTTCTTGTATTTCTCGCTTGTGGAATTCTCTTCTGGCTTGTTGCTTTCCAGTCAACTGTGACCTTCAAAAATTTAAATGAAATGTCAATCATTATCTTCTGTATTCTTAATTCTTGCTCTTTTATTGTTCTCTATCCTTAATAATGTTTTTTTTTTTCTTATATTCCTTAACACTCAGTAAGTAAACCTTTGTCATCCTAGTGACTTTATTGGCTTGCTTGGGGTGAAATGAAAAAATATATATATATATATATATATATATATATATATCAATCATATGAGTGCCATTTTATAATATCAATCATTATTTAAAATATTGATAATATCTTGTTTTGGGGTGTATTAAAGTTTTTTTCTTTATACAGGATGTGGAGAAATGCCTCCCACATTTTTCATTAATAATATTTTCTTTTTCTCTTATATTCTTTCACAATATTTCCTTGCATCTTAGTGGCTTTATTACCTTGCTTGGGAGTGAAATGATTAAAAAAAATATTGTTGCATAAGAACAGCCTAGAGCAGTTGGTACCTTGACAATAGAGTGGCTAAAATTTGTTGGCTCCAACAGTCATTCATCAGTCAGAGTGTATTAAAACCTGTCTGAGTTTCAATTGCCTCGGCTACACGATGTCTTTACCCGTTGAGCCATACATAGTTCATCCAGTGTACTGATGTATCTCTCTCTTTTTTTAAGCATTCTGTTTATTTATGTAGAGAGAGAATTTGAGAGAATCACAAAAATGAATATTGGCTAAAAGGAAAGTTTAGCAAATATATAGTCTGCTGCAATTTTGAGGAATCACAACTCAGTCAAGTGGTGAGCTGACCATGGGCTTTCTGGAAAGAAAGTGTTTTAGAGTAGCTAGCACCCCTCCAGCACTCTACTAGATGGCCTGGCTGATAGCCTTAAATAGTCTACGATTAAGGACTTCAACAGTTGATTAATAAGTTGATACTAAGCTGATTAATATTCAGACTGATCTTACTTCATTTGGCTATACAGCATTTGACCCTCCTCTATTCCTTGTAAGTTATCTTTTTAATTGTTTTGTAACTTAGTGTTCTGTATGATTTGTATATGTCCATTAGCACTGGATACTGGTGCTGAATAAATATATTAAGCACTCATTTTCTGTGTATCATTCACCTCAACGATACAGCACAAAAGAAGTAAATTAATGGCCAAATCGTACCAATAAATTAAAATGACAACCCACAGGCTTTTCCATGTATCCAAATATATAGAAAGCTTTAGGACTTTCTACAGAGGGAAGAAGAGACTATATTAGCAATCATGAATAGACAGTCCACCAGATTAATATTACTATTTTAACCATTCAAAAGTGTAAAAGAAGTAGACATAAACAGCTCTTGTTCTATCACCATTATAGTTGTAAACAAACAATTCAAATTGGCAAATTTACTGTCCTGTAAATAATAATTTTACTTATTTTTCTTACCTAGCGAGTTTTCTGTGGCCACGAATACACTATAAACAATCTGAAGTTTGCAGCCCATGTGGAACCCAACAATAAAGCAATAAAAGACAAGATGGTTTGGTCAAAGGTAGTGTCTTATTTATTTTCATTTGAATTTCTGAGACAAGTCAGTGTTCCATTTGTACATTGATTGCTTTGAATTGATTTCTTAGTTGTTGATTTTTACTCATTATGTTTTCACTTTCAGGATATGGCCAAGTTGGTAAAACATCATGGTATTTGTGTCTTTGCTTATTGCTGCTCATGTTTACTTTTTATATGACCTTATCCTGGATTTAATTTTGTATATGACCCTATCTTGGATTTATTTTTTTATATGACCCTCTCCTGGATTTACTATGATAAACTACATCCAACAACAAGGCTTCTGATCAGGAGGTTTTGAGGAGAATGGAACCACCTCTTAGTTGCTGGTGTTCCTAGGTCCACCCTGACCTGTGGTGGTAGCACATGTTAGGGTCCCAGCTATGGGCAATTAGTTGCCCCCCCCTCCAAACTGGAGCCAAAACACTATGAAAATGTAAAAATGTTTTAATACCAGAAATACTTTTTTGTAAAATATTATTACTAGCAATGAATTTTTGAAGGAAAAAATTATTACCAGCAATACATTTTTGAAGGAAAAAATGTTACCAGCAATAAAAATCTTGTTCGCATTAACAAATCCATTGAGGTTGATATGCTGTAAAACAAACCAAATCAAACCGAATGCAGAAGCCATACTGATTCTCTTCCACAACGGTCTATCAATGGTAGCCATCAGCAATTCTTGTATAGTCATACCTGTCCATTATTTGACATTGTCCAACCAGTTTTTACGTTGGCCTCCATTCCTATGTCCACTTTCAATGGTGCCTTGCATGATGATCTTGCACAGGCTGTCATATCTTGTAACATGTCCAAATCATGCCATTTTTCTCTATTTGACAGTGGCAAGAAGAGGTTCCTGGTGGCCCACAGAACTTTCAACCCTTTTCCACACAAACTCATTGGTGTTATGTACTCAAATGCTTGGATCTTTCTCTTTTTTCTGCCAACAGTGTCCATGTTTCATCCTGTGCTAAAGATGCAATCATGGCTTGTTGTTGTAATTAAAGAAGAGCAAGAATTACTTTTTGTCAAACTCTTATAACATGAGTGAAAAGGAAGGTGACAATGTTGAGGACAAGATTGGGGCTTAGTGTGCTTCGACTATTAAATCTGTTAAATTTGAAGATAAAAGTGACTCACCTGATTTTTTTTTACTAAATGTTCTCTTCTCAGATGAAACGAAATTTGAGCTAAATTCAAAGGATAAGCGATCTAAAATCCAAAGAAGAAGCGTTGAAAGTTCTTTGAATTTAGCAGTAAGTACTGTCAAGCATCTGTTCAGTATAATATTCTGGGGATGCTTTTCTTTTCATGGAACTGGTTTCCTAAAACCTATTGAAAAGACCCGCAGGAGCGAGCAGTACAAGAGAATTTTAGAGTCTTGTCTGCTCCCTTCTGCTGAAAGGGTGAAAATCGACCCCACCAAGCTCATTTTTATGCAGGATAATGCTCCCTGTCACAAATCAAAATTGATGAAGGAATACTTTGATGAGAAGCAGGTGAGTGTTATGACATGGCCGCCCCAATCTCCTGACCTCAACCCCATAGAAAACTTATGGAGCATTATAAAGTACAGGCTCTTGAGAAAGCAGTTGAGCAACAAAGGATTTGATTGTGAATTTCATATCCGAATAGAATTCAATGTTTGGAGATGAGATTTGCCAGAGCCTAATCAAGTCAATGCCAAAAAGGGTTGAAAAAGTTATTCAAAATAAAGGAGGACCCATAGATTATTAAATATTTCAAACTATATTACCTATTATAAATAAATTATACCTCTATTATTCTTTATTTAAAACTGTTCGGTTATGTTTCTATTGATTACTAGTTGCAGGAAATAAGTGAGTCACTTTTTTTGCACAGAGTTTTTCCCTAAATCTCATTTATATCCAAAATTATAATTATCACTAGAATACCTTAGGGTGAGTAAACTTTTTTACTAGGTGGTCGGGAATGGGTCTTTATATTAAGATTAAGATTAAAAATTAGTTTGACCCCAAAAACAATAGGCGAAAAAAATTTTAAGTAAAAAAAAAAAATCAGGTGAGCCACTTTTATTGAACAGCTCTCTATTACTTTTTAACAGACTCTTGTACCATGAGTGAAAAGGAAGGAGACAACGTTGAAGACTAGATTTGAAATCATGAGTTGTTGGAGACCATTTTGGTATGCTTTGTGTGGTTTGACTATTAAATCTGTTATAATTTGTTGGTGAATGATCTACTGCTCTGGACACCTTGCCATAGAGCAAGACAGTTGGTAAACCGGCAACCACCTACATTGACCAGCTATGTTATGACACAGAATGCCACCTCAATGACTTGATCTTGAGGCAGGACATTAATAGTTGGCATGATATACTCTTGAGTGTCCGAACTAGCTCAACTGAATAAAAAAATAAATTAAAGAAGAACTGGCATTACTTTTTATCAGACTCTTACGACACTAGTGAAAAGGAAGGAGACAATGCTAAAGGCTAGATTTGAAATCATGAGTTGTTGGAGCCCATTTTGATATGTTTTCTGTGCTTCCACTGTTAAATCTATTGTAATTAAAAAAGAAAAGTTACTTTTTAACAGACTCTTGTACCATGCGTGAAAAGTAAGGAGACATTTTTGAGGACTACATTTGAAATCATGAGTCATTGGAGCCCAATTTGATATGGCTTCTGTGCTTCCACTTTTACAACAAACATTACTTTTCAATTCTCTTGCAACATTTGAGAAGGAAGAAGAATATGCTGAGGGCCATATTTGTAATCCTGAAACTTTTGTGTTCATTTTGGGTGCTTTTGCCATGAAATCAAAGACCCAACCATTGTCTGCATCAGCCTGCTTAACCTTTCTGTACACCTGTGAATCTTGGACAATAACTGAAGACCTACGGGGTTTCTACCCAAGCAATTGAAACAAAATGCTACAGAAGCATCCTCAATATCTCCTATATAGACTGCATCACACCATCAGACAAGAAACAGGCCCATTGGAAGACCTCATAACCACTGTCAAGAAAAGAAAGTTGAAATAGTATAGCCATATCAGAAGAGCCAGCAATCTGTCATCATACAAAGAAGAGGCTGGGAAAAAATGGATTGACAACATCACTGAATGGACCTAAAGATCCTTTGCTGAGACCAAAACATTGGTGTGCAACTGAAGTATATGAAAGGTGCTGATCAGGTCCGCAGCTGCACAGCAGCCCTAAAACCACACCCTGTCATGGGACCACTAAGTGATAACTTAAATCTGTTGTAATTAAAGAACACGTATTATTTTTTGTCAGATTCTTATAACACTAGTGAAAAGGAAGGAGACAATATTGAGGACTAAATCTGAAATCCTGACTCATTGGAGTCCATTTTGAGATGTTTTATGTTGCAATTGAAGAAGAACAGGTATTATTTTTTTAACAGAGTCTCTTACCACAAGTGAAAAGGAAGGAGACAACATTGAGGACGAAATCTGAAATCTTGACTCATTAGAGTCCATTTTGATATGCTTTATGTCCTTATTGAAGAAGAACAGGTATTATTTTTTTAACAGAGTCTCTTACCACAAATGAAAAGGAAGGAGACAATGTTGAAGACTAGATTTGAAATCCTGCCTTTTTGGAGACCATTTTGGTATGCTTTGTGTGGTTTGACTATTAAATCTGTTGTAATTCAAGAAGAATTGGCATTACTTTTTGAACAAGACTTTTACTATGATTCTTTTGTGACCATTTCCTCATCTTTTTCTCTATCATATTTTACTTACCATACAATCCTCTCATTCATGTATATGTAAATGAAGGTAATATTTAGTTTTTTTACAATTAAAATATCATAGTTAATTTGAGTTGGATTTTTATTTTTATTTTTTTTTTGTTCTAATTTTCTCCTCTACTTTATTTCAGAGCCAAAGAGACAAAAATTGTCCAACTATTCCTTCAACAATTGGTGAAGAACTTCTATTTAACCCCTTCATGCGAGTCAGGTAAATTTGCTATCCTCCTAAGTTTTGTTGAGTTCAATAGTCTGAATGTAAATAGTGTAAATAAAGAACAATGTAGTTCACAAAAGAGAAGAAAGAGAAAATCATATTTTAGTAAATAATAAATAATACAAATATCTAAATTTAATTCATTCAACCTTCATTTTTCATTCAGGTTTCATTCACCAGTTTATAAAAGAAGTGCTTCAGCTTTGTTTATTTATATGTGTGTGTGTGTGTGTGTGTGTGTGTGTACTGATGTATGCATGACTTGATGTCTCCTGGAGGAGGCACTGTGCCTCAAGAGAAAACTGAGCCTCAAACTCACTCCTGACCTCAAGTAGAACTCTTATATACAATCCATTGTTAAAGATGCAGGCAAAATGATCAACACCCTGTACCACTCCAGTAAGTACCTGACTCCTCATGCCTCTACCTTCATAAAAGCCAGATCAGGCTGAAAATAGAGTACTGTTGCCATATTTGGGTGGGAGCTGCCTGGTCCTCACTTGATAGAGTTCAAAAGCATCTCTGAATCCTTGTTGGAGGAAAAATTATTTCCCATCCTCCAACCTCTCTCTCTCACAAGAGGGATGTGGCGAGTCTCTCACTGCTCTATTACTTCTACCATAGAAAGTGCTCAGATGAACTACATTACTTGGTTCCACCATGTCCTTCTCAATTGGCAAAAGTCCACAAAGGTATGCTGGGATATATTTCTTAGCCAATAAAATAGGCCAGTTTACAGTTTGATATCACTCAGTCCAGATCTACCTTGTCGAGATGACACAATGCTACATTAACTTGTCCAAACTTGCTTTCATGTGTTGGTACCAATTTAGTTTGTGAACTTTTTGCTTTCTTCCTGTTAATTTACCTTACATATATTCTTTGCTTGCTTGATATCATTTCATTTTTGTCCTGTTTCTTTTTTATTGCAAACTTTCTTAATTCTGTTTGTTGGTCAATTCTGTTATTTACTTTGCATTTGACCATGGCTACTCACTTCATGTAGTGAATTAAAGTGTTGATCAAACATAAATAGTTGAAATAATGATAATTCCTCATGTCAGAAATTTGAACAGAAAAGAATAGGATTTAACTAAAAGTTTTATATCATCCCGTCATTGTCCCCAAAACTTTAAACTTCTTATTCTGAACTAGCTTTTTGTCATTCCTGGGACAATTTAATTTCAAATCCTGCCATGATACTCAAGGAAAATAAATATGGATGTTAAACTGTTTTATTGGAAATAAAAAATACTCTACAGATCATAAGATAACTTTTTTGTTTTTTTAAAGAAAAGGATATTTATTCTGTTGTCAAACTTTTAATAAAAGTGTGTTTCTAAAATATGAAATGAACTAAAATATTAATGTCAATATTTTTTACTTCCAGGGAAGAAACAGTTCAGCACCATTCAGGTTGCATTGATCCAATTGAAGTAATGAAGTTTATTCGAAATGAAAAAGACAATTTCAAGGGTATATAATAATAATTATATATATATATATATATATATATATATGATAAGATAAAGAACAAATAAGAAATGTTTACCAATCTAACATGTTTCACTTTTATTAAAGCTACATCGTTTTTGTTATGTACATAAAAATGTTTCTGAATCAACAGGTAAAAACCAACAATTACTGCTACACACGTACACACACATTTATGAATATACATCATCATCTGAATACCACAAAGACAAATTAGAATTATTATACACTTACATACATAAAACAATATTTACAATTTTTCATGTAGGCTTGGAATTTGTTGATTTCTTGGAACATTGAAAGGGCATGTCGTATCTCCTTGAATTTAGAATGCCCACAAAATTATACTAACGTTTAAACAGTTGTTTACCCAATGAAAATCAAACAACACAAAAGTAAAAATATAGGAGTTTCTTTCTTCTTTTTCTCCATATCTAATTTTCTGATGAAGCTTTAATAAAAGTGAAACATGGTAGATTGATAAACATTTCCTATTTGTTCTGTTCTTTATCTTATCATTCTGTTAGATTCTGATCTATATTTGATCCCAACTTATATATATATATATATATATATATATATATAAGTAAAAGATTTGGCACTTAACTGATTGATGTTACCTTCAGCAACCTGACTCCAGAGTTTCATCAATGTACTTGTCGATCTATTCGTCAGGAGGTATCAGCAATATGAAAATATACCAGGAGACCTGATCAATATCTTTCAATAAAAATTCTGTTCCACTGGAGAGTTCTTGCTCAGATTTATAAATAAAAAATTTAAAATTTAAAATTGTTGTAATTTTAATTGAAAAAATATAATTGGAAATAAAATTTCTCCCTTTTTTTTTAAATACTTGTTCTTCCATCCACAGTAAATTTATATCAAGGTTTTTACAACATTTCACCTTTCTTAATAAATCTTGTGCTGTCATAATGCAGTAGAATTAACACTTCCGCTGCTAACTACGGAGGTCTTCATTTTTCTTATCTTGCTCCAGCTGGCTAAGTACGGAAATCTACGTTTTTTGCATCCCGCTGGTATGAGTGCCCCATTGCGCCATCTATTGTAAAATCACAAAGGACAATGCTTCAAAAGATATCATGTGTATACCCATTACTAACCTAATAAGTCATTCCCAGGTATATCCATGAAAATGGAAGGCTGTAAAACACACTGGTGACAGTTTTCTGTGTAATAAAATATGTAGGTTGAAATTTGGCCATTTTCTTTAAAAATGGCTGTCCGGATGGGGGCAGCACTGGGCAAATGAGTAGCAGTGAAAGTGTTAAAAACAACTGCGATAATGAGAAAAGTTTTGGGGTTGATCTTCAGGAATATGGCCTAGTGGATTAAAGTATTGATTCATGAATTTGGTGACATGGTGGTTGTGAGTTCAATCCCTGGATCAGTATTTGAAGTATTGTGAATTTGGATTATGTGGTTGTTTTCTTTTTGAGTCAGACTTGCTATCCATTTTAGTTGTTGCTGCTCTTGAAAGTCCTCAAGTGATGTGTGTGTGTGTGTGTGTTTTTTTTATTTGGTACAGTTCTTTCTTTAGTTCCAATTAATGAAAATTCTACAGGTTTCATTTACTGGAAAGTATTTTTAATCATAGATCCGAGAAAGAGATTTTATACAACTGACAGTTTTTAATATTCCTTAATAAGTTTAACACCATGCATGGCATCTATATTGTTGCGACCCTGCTTCTGTATTGATACTGCTCCTAGCTTGGCACTCTTAGTTAGACACTGCTTCTCTACAGGGTGCGATGGATAAATTGTCGTTATTTTATATTTTTAATTTTGTGCATGTGTGTTGTTTTTGATTTTGTCAACTGCACAGTATAGTAGGGTCAGTTGAGCACCATCTATGAGAAAAAGAGCACCATGATGCAATTTACTCCACCAGAAATTTGAAAACCGCATACTCTACTGTTGCATATTAATAGCAGTGAATGTTCTCAGCATGGCTTTTTCTCTTGGCCTGTGATCGCCAATCATTTTGGTTTTGTAATGAAAGACTTCAACACAGAGAATTTTAACTATTTTTTTTAATCATGTCAAAATCTAAAATATCTAGCTAGCCAGGGGGGAGGGGTCGCCTCCCCTCACTGGGAAGCTGTTTCGGACATGAAAGCTAACACATCTATGTCGTTTGATAGTCAAGAAACAACTCAGAAAAAAAACTTTATGTACCATTCCCATGCTAGCTCAGCCAATCAAAATTGACTTACATCTGACCTAGAAAGGTCAATCACCTGAAGTCAGAGCTGAGATACACTTCCTCTAAATATAATAGTATGCTAAACTATTATTTAACAATACTGCTAGGACAGTACAGAGGATTTGGAAAGAGATGAGTCTAATGGTGATTACGAAGGTGTTTAGAGTGATCCCTAGTGATATCAACACTATGCCTACATTCATCTTTCCACTGGGCCTCAGACTCAACACATAGACCTACATTAAGTGTCTTGCAGAGGTAGTGTTACCCTGAGTCAAGAGGGTGGCTGCTGGCAACAGGATTCTGCATAATGCCACACAAGCAGAAGAACCCAGTCATGTCTGTTAAACATTTTCTGTGATCACATTACCCCTTACATCTGGCCACCTAACTCCCCAGATTGCAACCCTAACAAAACTCCTTGTAACGCCAAAGATGAACTGAAGGCAAGGATTATGGCAGCATTCACCATCTTAAACAAGGAGACCATCCAGAAAAGTTGCAGGAGATTTCAAAGTCATCTGCAGGCCATTGGTGATTTTGCTGAATAAATTTACTCTTTAGTATTTCAAGATATTTTTGTGTAATTTTGGTAAATATATCTTAAAATGAGATGCCAATATTATTTTCATTTTGGCCTCAATTGGACGACAATTTATCCATCGCACCCTGTAGATCTGTTAAAATGAGATGCCAGTGTTATTTTCATTTTGGCCTCCATTGGACGACAATTTATCCATCGAACCCTGTAGATCTGTTAAAATGAGATGCCAGGGTTATTTTCATTTTGGCCTCAATTGGACGACAATTCATCCATCGCACCCTGTAGATCTGTTAAAATGAGATGCCAATGTTATTTTCATTTTGGCCTCCATTGGACGGCAATTTATCCATCGCACCCTGTAGATCTGTTAAAATGAGATGTCAGTGTTGTTTTCATTTTGGCCTCCATTGGACGACAATTTATCCATCGCACCCTGTAGATCTGTTAAAATAAGATGTCATTTTCATTTTGGCCTCCATTGGACGACAATTTATCCATCGCACCCTGTAGATCTGTTAAAATGAGTGTTATTTTCATTTTGGCCTCCATTGGACGACAATTTATCCATCGCACCCTGTAGATCTGTTAAAATGAGTTCAGTGTTATTTTCATTTTGGCCTCAATTGGACGACAATTTATCCATCGCACCCTGTATTAATACTGTTTGGACGTGCCTTGCATCCCTACTCATGAAGTAAGTAATTTGGTCGTTCCACCTCAGCACAAAGATGATTGAGCTCAACCATTGCTATTCTTCTTGACTGGAAAGGAAAGCGGACATATGCTAGAGACATTAAGAAATTTGTTCCACTAAAGTCAACTTAAAAGGAATAAATGTTCCGTAGTAGAAACCCAAGTGTTTGCATTCTACGTTTTTGTTTATTATGTAGAACCTAACTTCTATATATCAGTGGATCACAGCTAATTTCCATAATGCTGTTTATTTAATCCTGATTGGACAATAAATATTAAAACTGTATTTTGTCTATTTTCACGTGCAAAGTTCTAAACTCTTGTACAAGCTAAACACTTGTAGGCTCCAGGCTAGGTTTGCAGTAGCTAATTGATACCAATATCATGTTTCCGCCTACATCCCCACGGTTCACTTGACCTGTTCAGACTTAATTTTCTGCCAAGATCTGGTTATGTATTTGCGTGCCTATCACGTGATTCATATTACTTATAAATACTTAGCAACATCTTGATTCCTTCTCTCTTTCCTATTTTCTCAGACTCACAGCAATGTAGCTCTGTGGAGAGATCTCGTTTGTCCCTGAGGGGAAAACGCTATGAAACGTCATGACGCACACGTGTACGTACGTACGAACATCTATGAACATGTAGCGGTGTTGACGGCCTAAATCAACCCATACATTTTTCACTTTACAAATGTGTAAGGAAATGAAAAGCAAACAACACGAAAAACTGTTTTTATAACAAAAACAATATTCATATTTATGTATGTCAATGATATACAAGCATAATCAATAGGAGTTACTTCCCTTTGATTGGAATTAAAATCTTTACTAAGGAAATATTTTATTTGAGCTCATAGAAAGTTGAATGAACTTGCCGCTCAAAATGTTCACTGTGAGAGAGTTGAAAGAATTCTGTAAAGCTGAGAATATGTTTATAAAGTTTTAGCTTCAGAAGAGTTGAAGGAATGAATGTTCCATAATGTTTAATTAGTTTCCATTGCTTGTAGTTGAATATTCATAATATGTTGATGCTTGTAATGTTCGTAATGTTTGTAATTAAGTTTCCGTACGTACGTATATGTGAGCGTGTGTGAATATGTTTTCATAGCATCCGCCCGAAAAAGGTCGAAACACGATATCTTAAACAGCTACATTTTAGTAAACGAGAGAAATTAAAAAGTTAACAAAAGAACTTGTGTCACAGTATTTATAATAAACGTGATCATGTGATAGGCTCCGAAAGGCATAGACAGATTTTTGACGGAATTGTATTTTCATCAGGTCAGGAACTAGGTCGATGTTATTCGGACGTAGTTGAGAACATGAATTAAATATTAACTGACCAATGAGAAGTGAGGAAAATTATCAAGGTTCTGTGATCCACTTTTTGCACAGATTTGTAGTAAAAAACAAGTGGTAGCAGAATGCTATAAACATTCACTCCTTCAACATCAAGGACACAGAAACTTATCAACTTCTAACAGTGAGATTTTCATCAGCAGAAAAACACTTTCCTTTTAAAGCCTTAAGCAATTCAAATTAATAGTTAAAGGTAAATAACTCCTGTTATATTTAAAAATTGAACTTTCAACTATAGAAAATGTTACAAATTGTTCAATTAATTTTAACAGATTTTTTAATTACAGAATTTATATCATTTTCACACAAAATGAACATTCTTCACAGGAACACATTTTGATCTGTCAAAAGACCATTTCCAAGTAACAAATACATACTCGTCAACTAAATCTCTAAGTTTACTGAATTACTGTCTGTACAATGTTGTTATGCATATATAAATTCCATTTAACTAAACCATTTCTCTTGTTGAATGTTTCTTATTGTTTCATATTTTGTGATATTTTGCGTTAAATACGAGAGGTTCTAGTAACCTCTACAATAATATGTGAACACGCGCGTAACCTAAAATACACCAACCCCCAAACTGTTCATTTCCATAATGGCCACCATTTTCCTTTGTAAGTAGAACGTTTACAATACACTACAAACTCTACACAGAGTTAATGTTTTTGTATTTAATATTATCGAAAAATAAATATTACTTCTTTAATTTTCATGCATGGATATTTCATAGTATTTCTGCCTTATAATAATTCTTAGATTTAGTGAAAACTGAATGAAATGTATAAATATATCAACTATTATGATATTTATCAATGGTGACTCTACTCTAGGTCATCAATGTTTGTCAAGCTCATTACAATCTTTAACAAAATCTACTATTGGTATTGTAGACTCGTCCTTTTTTCCTTACCTTTCAACCCTAGCAACAGAACAGTCTATATCTTACGCCTACGTACGGAAAACTTCAACCAATTAAAACTGCACTAAGCGAAACAAACAATCTCATTGGTTCATCACTGAAAGTTCACGTGCAGAACGAAATTGCGCCAAAACTCAAGTGAGCCACCTTCGGACTTTCAAGCCTTATAAAAATAAACGCTGACCGCCCCAGACAGTCAGTAACAAACACCCACGGAGAACTTGCCAAAATACTCCACGTCACTCTAAATCACGATTAACCGCGCAAAGATACATCATCGTTGACTCATTCCCGATCGAAAACTTAATCAACTCTGTGGATATCAATTCTCAACATTGCTTATCTAAAGTGAATTAAATTCGCTACCTATTAAGTAAACATCAACGTGCGAACGACCTTAAAAAAAGATTACATTACAGTTAAAGGTAGATCACTCTTAAAAACTCCTTCTAAAAAAGACACTTAATATCGACAATTATTAATATCAACACAAACTTAAAAAGACTGTAAATGAACGAACAATTACAAAGAGAGACATTCTACAATAAAAAAAACCGCATACACATTTCGCCAACATAACATATATCAATTATCCTGTTTGTATATTGTTTTTGAATTGTATATAAATGTTATATTAATTTCTAATTGAATATGTCTCGTTCTTAATCGTATTTTAAATTTCATTTATTTATTTGTTGTGGATGCAGAAAGTTACGCAACCTACACAAATTCCTTCTGATTCTTTCAAGCATAATTAATAAATTCTGCATGTCCCCAACAGTATAACTTAGATCATCTTGCTTGGATATTCCACCAAATAGTCCAGCTAGCTTCTTCAAATCGGCTAGAAATACGTCGACAGACCCGTCTAGGTGCAGTCGGCGATCCATGAATTGCTCGTTGGCCAAGCAACGATCCGGCGCAAAGGCAATCCGCAGGACTCGTTTTATCTGTTTGGTATTTACTTTTTGCTCTGTACTTAGCTGCTGGTAGATAGCAAGTGCCCCGCCAGTCAATCTCAAGAGAAGAACACGTTCAACCTTCTTCACACCACACAGATCGCAATCCATTCAGTAACTGCTTTGTCAATCCATTCAGTAAATGCTTGCCCGATCACTGAGCCATCAAATTCTGGTATCAACTTGACGTCAAACGTTCTATCCGTTTTGATGCCGAAATAGCTTGTTGCGGACTTGTGATTGGGTTTAAATTGATCAGAAGGAATTTTGAGGCCGTGTTCTAAAACACTCGTCCACAACAATTATTTAGAACAAATACTTGGAACAAATTATGCGAATAAAGTTGAAAACAAGACAAAAGTTGAATGCATAACAATAATATCAATTTATATACAATTTATACAAATATTCAAAGTTGCGTACCTTTATCTGCTTGAGAAAAATTAATTGTTAGTTACTGATACTTGTTATGTAGTGAGAAATATCACTTTGAAAAGTATAGTAAGTGAAGTTTGAGAAAATGTTCTAGAGAGAGATAGAGTGTGCTCGAAGGTTACAGAGTCAGTGAATATTTTAACCCGGCAAAGTCAGAGTTTAGACTGGCGTGGAGTTGATGGGCATCTCTCTAGGTGTGGAGGTCTGACTGTCTAAAGTTGGTAATTGTCTTTAACGTCTGGTCAGCAATGACTAAGACGGGAGTCGGTGAAGGTTACATCTTGAAACTTGGTAATTACTACTCCGAAGGTTCACATGTGTTCGGTTTATATAATCACTGAGTGGCTCCCAGCATACGAGCGGGAAAACAGATTGGTCGCGTGCAGGCGGTTTGATTGGTCGGAACTGACCAATCATCAAGCCAGATTGGAGGTGATTGACCAATGAATACTTGTTATATTGTCTGAAAGTAGAATTTGGCTTACCAGATAGGAAGAGTGCATTTCCTACAAAGAGGTAAGGCCGGTTGTGTTGTGGGAGATTCTATAAGCTCGTAGGAAATTTGACGTGATAGCACAAGTTGAAAGCAAAAAGCAAACAATTCAAAAATCAGATTACTGTAGATCACTCAGAAAGGAATGTTGCATTCATGAATCATTTAATCTAATGTTAAAAATCCCAGTAAATGGCTATAAATCCATCGGACTGTTCGACAGTCACTTCCAAAAACAACCAAACCCCAAAAAACTGTCCGATCCCGAACGACGCGCACACCGTTAATGCGAACGCCAACCGCTTTTGTTTACGGAATCATCTCTTTTCATTGGTCGACGGTATACGCGAGAATCAATGAACGCTTTCTTTCTTTCTTTCTTTCTTTTCCGGCGGAGAATTTACGCTGTCGCTTGGTTTTGCCATTTTCTTCGCTACAGGTAGCAAATATAAAATCAAATTTATTTTTTTCTATTCACATGTTCTTACTTTCTGTTTATTTTTTACTTACATTTTTCCATTGTGGTGATTAGATCCATGCTAATTCATTAGAATACTGTTGTGGAATCTTCCACATCAAACCAGCCTTACCTATTTTTAGGAAATGCACTCTTCCTATCTGGTAAGTGAAATTCTACTTTCATACAATATAACAAGTATTCATTGGTCAATCACCTCCAATCTAGCTTGCTGATTGGTCAGTTCCGACCAATCAAACCGCCTGCACGCGACCAATCTGTTTTCCCGCTCGTATGCTGGGAGCCACTCAGTGATTATATAAACCGAACACATGTGAACCTTCGGAGTAGTAATTACCAAGTTTCAAGATGTAACCTTCACCGACTCCCGTCTTAGTCATTGCTGACCAGACGTTAAAAACAATTACCAACATTCACGAACTCTGAAATCACTCCTGAACTTTTACCAACTTTGCAAACTCACAATTCCAAACTTTCTTAATATGAACTCTGGTACAACTAATACCTAATCAAAGGGACACGACTCTGTCCTACCTTTTCAGTTCGCATTCATGTACATCAAACATTAATAAATCTAATTATGTTTTGGAATCATTCAGTTCAGTTTTGTATTTTATTCTATGTGCTATTTACGTCAAGTATAAATTGCATTGCTTTCACGCATTGTCCTTAATCTCATCTTTCCTAGCCCAAGTTAAATATTGGCAACTCAATCACTACAACGATGATAATACAACAGCTACACATTTGATGAAGGTTTGATAGAGTTATTTCTCTTAGATTTGGAAATATTTGTACCGGAGCTCATAAAGTTGGATTAATTATTAAACTGTAGTTTAGAAGAATAAAGTTCCTGTTGCATGTTAGGAAATGTGAATTGGTAAAGTTGGTAAGAGTTCAAAAGAGTTAAGAGTTCGTACTTGCGTGAATTGGTAATGTTCTTTAACGTCTGACCGCATGGTCAAGACGGGAGTTCTTGAAGGTTACATTTTGGCAGCAAGGAATAAGACGCGAGAGAAAACGGAGAGAGAAAGCTTACACGTGTTTTGTTTATATAAGGTGGTGTATCACGTGACTGGCTCAAACCTTAATGAGCGGGAAATTTCATTCATCGCGTGCAGGATATCTGATTGGTCGGAATTGACCAATCAGCGAGCTAGTTTTGAGGAGATTAACCAATGAATGCTTGTCGCATGATTTGTATGTATGTGATGATAATCACCACAGGGGAAGAGTGCATTTTCCCGCCGGGGGTTAGGGTAGGGGGGACTGGGAAATGCGGAAGATTCCACAATACAACCCCAAATTTATGGGGTTAGTAATGCTGAGTCGTGTGTGCCCAAACAAACTGGATGCCAGCTTTTGAGGAGAATGAAATACAACAACCTGTACTAATTAAATATATTTAACATACAATTTCACACTATTAGTAAGAGTACTATTGTTAATAATTACTATTATTATTATCGTACATTCGTTAATGGTAAGTAAAGTAGTGACAACAGCCTAGTTACTGTGATCCGATTGTTCAGTTAAACCTGAGGTGAACTTGTTTAATTTTTTTTACCATTTCAACCCAAATAAGGCAGTAAAACCACTAAGATGTGAGGGGTTACTGAGTGTAAGAGAATATGAGAGAAAAAAACATTATTAAAGAGAAAGAGCAATAACAGGACATGAATTAAGTAGACGGAAGATAACACTTGACATTGCATTTAGCGAGAAAAGGAATAACGTAGATTAAATCTTGAACATCAATTTTTGGATAGTCGAGGCGGTTGGTCAAGCCTGGGAGTGGTAACGGTCGTTGAGAGGTGCGGTCATGTTGAGTGGTGGCGATGAAGGCGGCAACGGCGACGACAGCAGCAGCAGCAGCAGCAGCGCCGTAACTGCTGGTGTTGTTTTCAGAGGTCTGCTTTTAACCAGGGTAGTCCCCATGGGCATCTCTCTTCCCGGCGAGAACGTCCGCGATTGGCCTCTGCCGGAGATCGCGTCGGATGTGATGCGTGGAGCCTAATGCGCAGAAGACGACTTTTGTTATTTCGTTTTCTGCCTTCATGGCGTTCACATCCAGCTAGTGTGCAAAATGAATCAGAAAGAGATCTAATTGCGACGGAGTATAACACCGAGAAGCAAGAAGCCGGAATAGAGTTCTACAAGCAAGAAGTCCAAGAAAAGAAACAGCATAAAGCTTACACTTACATCTTGACATTTAACTGTAAAATGCTGAGACCTTACCGCCGATTTAGTACATAAATTCATAAAATCTACACACCAAAGAAGAAAGTTCACCAGAACAATTACTATAAAAATATTTACAGAAAAGGCACAGGAAAGCTATGTTACAACGATGGGGAAAGTGACTGAAGCCGAGATGCAAGATCAGAATCAATATATAGAGAAATATTCGTGGATAAAACGAAGAAATAAGCGATCGTCGAACATGGCTCTACAAATGTAAAAAGATTTTATTTTTGAGTATTTGTTTTCTTTCAAATTGAAAGAAATGCATTATAAAGATTCTTTGCAAAACGACTTCACACAAAAATATTTTTCTTTTTTTACAGTACAACATACTATTTGTATTAGTATGATAGAAAATAGAAGGCATCTACATTCTACATACGAGAGTGTTACATATTTATAATGTTTCATGTATGTGTGTAATTTTCTAGTACCAGCAGCTAACGGATAACAGACGACGCTATCAACAAAGATAGCTGCATTAATACTGCTGTTAAATTCCGTGTTTTTTTTAACTCTGCATCGCTAAGTCTTTTTTGTAATATAATATACTCGAATAAATATGCGAAAATATGAGTAATTAATTAAGGTTTGAGAATTTAAACTTGTATTGCAACAAACGAACAGCCCTAATGAAAAGTTTATGAAATAACTGAAAAACTAATTTTCGCGAACTAATGGCTTTTTTGTAATCGAGAAACCGGCTTCGAAAAGAGCAGAAGTTAGATTTGATTAAACTTATACGTTTATTGGTTAATAAATATTTTTTCCAATTTTTAAATATCTATTTTAGAGGATTATTATTCAATGCAACGTTGGGGTTATCATTTGTTGAGGTAAGTCAGGTTTAGCTACATTTTGTAAAGTGAATTCGTTTGCTTGTTCAAAGTAACATAAATCCTCAACACATTTAATTACTTCTTCAACGAATTACGGAGCAATGAACAAAATAAGAAATAACACAAAATAATATTATATAACAACAAACAAATTTTCATTTACATAGCACAAGAAAATACAATGATTTTTGCTGGAATGAATTCAGATTTGTAAATGAAGTCTCTGTGATGTTTGTTTAAATCTTTGTATAAACTCTTTTTGAGGTGTTTGGAATGTAGTTTGTGAGTTTAAGTGAAAGATTGTATGTTGAAGTTGTGATGAAAAGTCCATAAAGTCAGTAAAAGTATTAATCTGTTTACTTAGAATTTAAAGAGTTTTGTGCAATGTAAATTTTCAATGTAGTTTAGAATAAATTTAGTTGTAAAAATTATCTTCTTTTGACCGTTTTTTGTCAAGAAATAATGTTGAATTGTTTGAGCAAATTCAGAAGAGAAATAATGTTCTGTGATTGATAACTTGAAGTGATAAGCAATTCTCTACTGTGTAATAAACGAAGCCGAATATGAAGATGAGTGATGTCTGAACTTTTGGATTATGTTAAAAGGTAACTTTAAAGACTTCAGATGATGAAGTGACGTGGATTTGTTTAGCAACTGTGATCACGATGCTCACTAGCGAGATGAATTTGCGTGCTGAATTTATTTGCTTGGGTGGACACGTGATAGGCTCTGGAAAATTAGCGCCAAAATATTTAACTTGATCACGAGAAGAAAGATAGATGTGCGTGGGTGGATGGCGACGCCCACTTGCTTCTTTATGAACCAATCAGCAAGCGAATTTTTGGAAAATGTGTGGGGCTGATTTTGTACAAGAATATCGCTGTGATCCACTTTTAGATGGCTTTTGCACAGATTTTAACAAAATCTCGTTGTAATACACTTTTGCATGGTGTTTCAAAATTCTACACTATTTTAAGGAAGGGAAATATTGTTGGAGTGGACTTTCAAAATTGCAGACAACAAATATTAATTGTCTGAAAATTCAAAGGAGTTAGGTAATGGTTAATCCAGTTACTGCGTAGCAGTAACTATTTATTTAAGACGTTGCATACTGAGAAAAATGAAAAAGTGGACCTGGTCTGAACAGTAACATCGGCAAAAACAAGCACCGGTTGATATATTCTAAGACAGAATGCAAACATTTATGGAAACGGATTTGTTGTCAACAGTAAATGGAGGAATAATGTTCATCGACGTTGGAAAGTATCAGAATGTGTGTCTGTAATACAAGCTCACTGTTCAAGAAAAAAAAACACATACGAATGTCAACAAACAGAAGGAATTAATCTCAAATAAGCCATGGAATTTTACTTTGAAAAGACTGACTTTAAAAAGTTCAGTGTCCATCCTTGAAGCACCATAGTCACAACGCCGAACCGAGACATTCAAAGAACAAGGCAGAAAGATTCCAGTTTTTCTTTGGAGAAATTTAAAATTAAGGAAAATCTGTAATTTAAAAAATGGCGGATGGCCATAAAACTGCTGAAAAAATGGCAGAGACCCCAATGCATAAGCCCCCACCCTCAGTCGGGGGTTTTGTGGGTAAGACGCGCCGGCCCTGGTTCAACTTATAAAAGTGTAAGATAAAGTTCTGGAGAGAAAAATTGTTTAGCACGACACAGTGAACCAACTTTCGTAGCAGCAGACCTGACAATTGATTCAATCAGTGTAACCCGGATGTAAGAGAGTTGTCGGGACCGGAGAAGAAGTCTCTTATATCCGGGTTTCTCTTATTTCCGGGTTTGGTCTATTTTATATACATTAACACAAGCTCTAATTTGGGACCAGAGAAAATCTCTCTTATATCCGTGTTTCTCTTATACCCGGGTCTCTTATATCCGGGTTACACTGAATCTTTCCCCTTCATGTCAGTGGAAAATGTTATCGTGTTGAATTGAGATTGTATCAGTATTTTAGTCAATTAGGCTTCTTATTCTATTTAGTCAAGTTCAAGTGGTTTATTAAGTTGTCCTTTTACCTCCAGGACTGTGGGCCTGGCTCAAGTTAAAATAATTGTTAAAGTGCTTTCAAATTTCTTAACATTATTTTTGCTTGGCTTCCTGGAGGAGTAATCAATCATTAATCGTTAGGAAATATCTTCAGTTGTGGGAGAAAGTTTTTATTTTTCCTGCTTCTCAGGAGGTGCTTATTTCGGTGGAGTTGTATATTTTAGGCACAGCAACTAGAAATACATATTTTTCATAGATCATGAATATATAATAAATAAATAAAAATTAAATTTTTAAAAAATTAATGGAGTGTCCACTTCGCCACGTAAATTGCTCCCCTCCCCTCCCCTCATACAGAAGACAAAACAAAATATGTTCATATTGTGGGATTTCTTTCAATTTTGAAATTCATCATCTGGGGTTCAATTTTTATCACTATCAATTAATTATTAGGCTTTATCAATGATTCTCAATGTGGGCCCTTAAGTGCACAAAAACTGAGAAAGTTTTAAAATCGGTCTACACACTTTTTTTTGGCCCAAGGAAAATAGGTGGGATTTGAAATTCTATCTTTTTTTTCCCCATTGGCATAAATAAATAAAATTATGAAAACACAAACTGTTTTTTTACATTTTTAAGGTAAATAAATAAAATTTTCAAAATTTGCTTCTTATAAGGATATAATTATATTTTCAGATTGGTTTGAAACATTTTTTTGTTTTATTGTATGGTGTTAGAAATACTTTGTATTCATTTAATTTTTAGTACTTGTTCCTTTATTTGACAAGCTTGATAGGTTCACCAGGAGCAGTGAAGTCATTTGTCAGGATTTATATTTTAAATTTTCTACATTTTGCTTTTGTTTTTGTAAATAAAAAAATGTATTTCCTGTTACATGGAATTTCTATTTGTGCTTATGTAGTAGGCCTAAACATTTTTTGACACCAAAAATGGGCCACAACAGAAAAAAGGATTGAGAAACACTGCTTCAGATTACAAATTAAAAAAAAAAGAACAAAAATCATTTTTAAAAATTTAAAAATGGTTTGTTGATTGATTTTTTTTTTTTACCGCTTATCAACCCTTTGCAGGCTAAAACTTTTACTTAAGGCTTTTAAAGTCGTACTCGTAACGTAGCATGTTATGGATTGTCAGAATACTTTTTTTCTAGTGAATATTGTTAACAATTTGGAGTGGGGGGGTAATGATTTTTCCAGATATAAGAAGAAGTGCCACTTAAAAACTAAATGAAATCACGTCGTTTGTATTTATTTGGGTTTTCGTAGGGGATCAATTTCTTAATGAACTTTTACATAGCAAACTGTTCCCCACTATTAACTTTTATAAATTTTTAAAAATTTATTTTTGATTTGTGATCAGGATCTTATAAGCTTTTTTGTAATGAGAAATAGTTTTTACTTTAAAAAAATTAAAACATTATTTCTAAAAATCGCTGTGCCTATATATTTTATTGTACAAAATTACAAACCTATCCTTATTCCAACTTTAACCACAACAAAAATAATACCAAGATCTACAAGTGTTCGGGAGACCAATTATATAACGATGTGTTCCCTTTTGCTTCTTTTCAACGACAAGTGGATTTATAGAAGAGTTCATAACTTTTTTTCCCTTCTTCCCCGCTTGCGAACCTTGGTTGACAGACGAATGAACACACATGAACAGTTATGAACACTCCTTAAATAATACATTGTTCGTTTTTTTCTCTCTCTTCTTTCCTCTTCTTACTCATTTTTCAAACTGTGACTTTTCAAAAAGAAGGCACCAAACATCTTCGAGAAATTAGAAGCACAGAAAAAAAAACGGTAAATTCTCTGTTAAAGTAGAGACAATATTTGGAGTCGGGTAAAGTAGGCATTCTTTTTCAAATTATCTTTTTATATTTTGTTGTTATTTGAAACTTTTTTACACCTCGATGAAACATAAAAATGCTGTTGGTTGGGTATTTATTTATTTTTAGGTACCTCCACTTTTTCGTTAAGATTTTCGATACCTAAAAGGACAAAGGTATTTTTAAATGAAACCCACTCCGGAAGCTTTCTTTTTAGCTTGTAATTGAAAGCTCAGGTGATTGATTCATTTATTATTTCCAGTAAGAAGCAAAAAATCAGTACGAAACCCAGAAAACTTGTGAAATATTTTTTTATTGATTCAGTTTGATTAATTTTTTAAAAATTAAAATTATAGGCGCTACTAACGTTACTACTGAATGGACCAGTAGTACTACTGGTCCATTGATAAAATTTAAAAAAAGTGCTCTATTTTATAAAAGTAAAAGAACACCTTTTTTTTTTTTAATAATTTTTATTTTTGTACATTATTATTATTCTTTAATCTTTAGGGTAGACTTTCCTTAGACCATGCCACTTGTCAGAATCGAAAAATACATTGTTTTTTTAAATAATTTATATGGATTGGTGGGGTTGTTATCGATTATCCAGTCGATCCCTGACACAAAAAGTTATTGGAATCAGGCTCTGCTAAGTGACTTAACTCAAATTGTTATTTATTTACAAATGCCAATTTTGAAAATGTGCCGCATATTTCTTTAGAATTAATTTTCTGAACTTTTTCCTAACTTTTTTGCTAATTTTCTCAAAACACTTTTTTTTTTAATTATTTTACTAAGTATTCTTTGAATCGTATATTTTTAAAAGATTAAAAAAATGACTTGAATTGAAAAAGTCGTTTAAAATTTATTTAAAAAGAAAAAAGGTATGTGCAAAATTTAACAACAGCCTATTTTTTTTTTTTTTAAAAAACAACCCCAACAAAACTAGACACTAACTTCGAAAAAAAACATTTTTTCTATTTATAAATTAAATGCTGGAACTTTTTTTACACACACTTGACTTATAAAATAATGCTAACATTTTTTACTTATTTCCGTATTTTGTAATAGGCGGGCATTTCAAAATTAATTTCACTTTTTCCTTTTTCTAATATTCGAATTGGAAATATGGAGTGTTTTTTTTTTAAAAAAAGGTTGTTTTTTATATTCAGTTTTGGTTTGAGTGTTCAATTTAAAAATTCCTTTAAAAGACAAATGATAAAAAACGAAAAAATGTTATTTTTTTCCATGTGTATACGATGCATAAATTACGATGGGAACATTCATACGAATGAGGTAAAAAAAGAAAAAAAAGAAAAGCTTATTGTACAAATTAATAAACTATGCATAATTTTACTAATTTGAAGATTATTTTTCTTTCAGATTCAAAGGTTTTTGTGGGTAAGCAAATGAAAATGGAAAAACCTGTTCATCAAGCGGGTCGTTTCCTTCCGAGAAGGAACTTCTTCTTAAGTCATTTCGGAATGAAACATGTGACTAAAAAGTTCTTCCATTTTTTGTGATTCGTTTACCTACTATTAAATTAATGTAAATTATATATATATATATATATATATATATATATATATATATATATATATATATATATAAATAAATAAATGTGTACATTTTAATGTGTACATTTTAACGTGTACATTTTATAATGTACACATTTTTTTGATGTGCAAAAAAATAGAAATATATATTTATTATGAATTAAATTATATCTATATCTATAAATTATGTTACATCAAATGCTATTTTATTAAGATCACCACGCAATGTGTGATATTTTCTATTCACAGGATGTAATGGTCAAATTGTCATCTAAATGATGCAAAAATGAAAATAACACTGACATCATCTTAACAAATATACTTACAATAATTACACAAAATATCTTGAAATACTAGAGTAAATTTATTCAATAAAATTGTCAATGGCTTCAACCATAGCCTTCAGACGACTTTGGAACATCCTGCAACTTTTCTGGACAGTCTCCTTGTTTAAGTTGGTAAATGCTGCCATAATCCTTGCCTTCAGTTCATCTTTGGTGTTATAAGGAGTTTTGTTGGTCTCAACGGTGCCCCACACATAATAATCAAGGGGGTTACAGTCTGAGGAGTTAGGTGACCAAATGTAAGGGGTGATGTCATTACAGAAATTTCTGACAGCCATAACTGGTTTCTGCTTGTGTGGCATGGTGTAGAATGCTGTTTCAAGACATAGGGTCTTCCAGCTGCCACCCTCTTGACCCAGGGCAGCACTACCTCCACAAGGCACTTAATGTAGGCCTCTGTGGGAAGTTGAATGGAGGCATAATGTCGACATCACTAGTGATCACTCCAAACACCTTCATAATCACCATTAAACTCGTCTTTCCAAATCCTCTGCATTGTCCTCAGATTGAAACCCAAACACACTGAAATGTTTGTATTGGAGCACTACCTCCTCAAGGCACTTGATGTAGGCCTGTGTTGAGTTGGAGATCCTCATCAACAAATTTGGCAGTTCTTTTCTCATCAGAATGTTCAGAGTGAGTTTGAGCTGCTGTACCTTTGTAATCACCATTAGACTCTTCCAACTCTTTCTGAATCCTCTGGACTGTCTCCAGATTGCGACCCAAACACTCTGAAATGTTCTTATTGGAGGTTCTGGCATGAATGCCAAGTAGTACAGTATACCATTTACAAATTTCTGGCAGGCTATATAATGGTTCTATGTAGGATACAGGTTTGATTCCTGTTGGAGAACACATATTTTCTATGAAATTTCTCAGACATTCCGGTAGGAAAATGTTGCTGGTACTGTTTATTATAAATAGAGCATTTACTTAAATATATGTATGTATAAAATAACATATAAACAGAATATATATATATATATATATATATATATATATATATATATATATATATATATATACAGTGCTGTTCGATAAAAGTGACTCACCTGATTTTTTTTTACTAAATGTTCTCTTCTCCGATGAAACCTAAAGTTGAGCTAAATTCAAAGGATAAGCGATCTAAAATCCGATGAAGAAGCTTTGAAAGCTCTTTGAATTTAGTAGTAAGTACTGTCAAGCATCCGTTCAGTATAATGTTCTGGGGATGCTTTTCTTTTCATGGAACTGGTTTCTTAAAACCTATTGAAAAGACCCTCAGCAGCGAGCAGTACAAGAGAATTTTAGAGTCTTGTCTGCTCCTTTCTACTGAAAGGGTGCAAATCGACCCTACCAAGCTCATTTTTATGCAGGATAATGCTCCCTGTCACAAATCAAAATTGATGAAGAAATACTTTGATGAGAAGCAGGTGAGTGTTATGACATGACCGCCCCAATCTCCTGACCTCAACCACATAGAAAACTTATAGAGCATTATAAAGTACAGGCTCTTGAGAAAGCAGCTGAGGTCTGCTCAGCGTAGTTGCAGTATAAACCACAGGTTGGCTCTGTAGGTGTTGAACAAAACACAAATGTGCCTGAGCGAGCATCTAGCCGCCCTAATAGACGGATATCCTTGAATATGAGTGGCCAACCATTATTCCATTTACAGGTTATTAAAATTTCTCAGATTAAACAAAGACTTTATAATTATCTTTGATTTCTTGTATATTAAGTTGACCAACAAATTTTCGTTTTTTATATATGTTATGATGTTGATTTGGGGTTAGTAGAGACAAACGCCAAATAACACGTAACAAATAAAAGGGTTTTAATAGTTTGGTAAAAAGGTACAGAAATCGCCTGAGTAGTCAATAACTAGCTCAGCTAAGAACTTCTCTGTCTATCAATCTCCTTCATGTCAACTGACATGCCACTATTTAAAGTCTTTGTTCACAGACAAGTTCATCTTCAAGAGGGGTGGAAGGTTTCCGACACAACAATATATTAGATGGTGTTATTATATATATATATATATCTGTTTTAATGTCCTTTCTTTTCCTATTGTTTGCTTCTCTGTTCTAATAAACCATTTTTATCTATGTATATTTGCCCGTATAAGTTATATTCTAATAAGTGGTAGAATTCATTTAATAACACTTTCAATCTTGAATATTTCTTGGTTGTGATATCGGAGTGTCTATGTCAATGTATGTGGGTGTTTGTATGTGTCTTTATCGGTGTCTATGTGTATTGTAACTTGCATGCACATTTCATTGTATATGTGTGTGTGTGTGTGTTTTTTTTTTTGTAATGGGTCGTGGAGATATTTCCTGTCTCGTCACTTCTTTGTGTGTGTGTATATATATATATATATATATATAAATATGTCTGCGTGCTTATGTATTATAATCTGATTGTGTATGTATTGTCTTTCACAAGATGTCATCATCCCCTGACTACACTTAGAATTCAAATGTATCCATGTTGTCATGAAGTTAAGAGCAGTCGATCTTAATGTTTATTCCAACGTAATTTCAATAAAAACAAAATAAATAGAATAACATATGTATTTTTTCTTTTTTCCTCAGTAATTTTATAATTTTAAACTTAATAGAGATTAAATTTAGACTTTAAAATGGGTAATTTTTAATTTTAATTTCAAATTTTATCATAATTTAATACTTATTAGTTAGAATAAATTCTATTTTAGTATAAACCCAATTTTAAAGCATTTAATAGTTATTATAAACTTAGTTTGTTGTCAAGTTTTTTGAATTCTCATATACTTGTATTTTGATTGGTCCTTCCAGCTTATGCAACAGCATTTCCCCTTGCGAGGGGTGATAAATTGATTTGAACTTTTTAAAACCCTTTATTCTATATTCAATACCATCACTTGATAAGACACCAGCTGTGTTAAAACAAAATGGCTATTTTTGTAGTGATTTTATAACATATTTATGTTATAATTTTTAAATAAATAATTATACATATACATACATATATTTTTTATTCTTTTAAGTGTTTCACCCCAAGCAAGACAGGAAACCACTAGCACACAAGGGGTTACAGAGAGTTGGAGCAAGAGCAAATAGGAGTGATAGAGGAAAGGATGAAGAGAAGGATAGGGGATAGATCAAGGCATCTGGAGACGTCGATTGACATTACATTTGAATAGTTGGAGATTATAGCTGTCAGGGAAACAAAAAATGGGGAGGGAGTTCCACAGGCAAGAAGTGCAAGAAATGAAGATATTGGAGTAGAAGAGACAGTTTTAACAGTTTTAACAGTAAAAGGGTGAGAGCAAGATGCCAGCCTAGTTGAATGCTGTGAGAGAGTGACTGCAGATGAGATGCCAGATCAGGGCCAATTACGTTGCATATCTGTCTCTGGATCTTATCAAGAACCTTGAGACAAACAGAAGGGGCTCCAGACTATATATGGCAGTAATACTCCATGCAAGGGTGAATGGTTGATTTGTAGATATGAAGGATCGATATTCTCTTCATTGAGTTTTGGATTAACAAAGCGGAATTTTTACTACTGAGTCAAAAGCCTCTTTTATTACTATTGCTTTTTACAACTACTTACTTGAGTGAACTGGGATTTTCCATATTAACTCAATTTAAGATGAAGGATAGAAACAATCTCAACACTGCACCTGATATGCGTGTAGCAATGTCTTCCTGTGTTTCTAAATTGGAGTCAACTGCTTATCAATAAGCAAGCACATCGATCTCATTAAATGAAATTTTTTCAAATATTATTTACTTCACCTTTGTGTCGAAATTTCTTTAATGTTCGTTTTTTTAAAAGTAATAATTTTATATTCATCCAAATAGATAATACAAATAGATACATGCAATTCCAGTATGTGCAGATAATAAGAAATATACATGTAAATTGTTGATGCTAAATAAATAAACCGAATGAACAGAGTTTGTCTTTGATTTATGACACATAGGTACAAGGAGTCACAATGCAAAATGTGGGTACAATAAAAAAAATGTTTGAAAAATGCTGGGCTAGCCAATTCTATTGTCTGCACTGATATGACGTGTACGTCCATTATTGTGTTTATATTGAAACAATATCATCTTTATTTTGTCTTTTTCAGATAGAATGAGAATTATGTTTTTTGATCATGACTAGAAAGTTTAATGATGGCACCATCAAAAGATTCATCTGTCAAACGAAGTTATTCTCTTCGCAAAGCCTTCTCTCTGCGGAGAACCTCTGCCACACAGAAAACCCCAATTTGTAAATCCAAAGAGAAGAAAATACAAGCAGTAGTAAACCGCTCTTCCCCAAGAGATCGTCAACGTATTCGTCAATGGAAAAGCTTCAGTTGCACTTCTCAAGCTACAGTATCCCCACAGGTGAATATCATAGTTTTAATTAACTCTAAATTACCCAGTATGTATCAAATCTGCAGGTAGTATGAATTGTACTATGACTTTTTGCAATATCTGTCTATATTTCTGAGATGAGGTATTGTAATTATTTATGCTATTTACATTGTTCAGGCTGTTGTTCTCATCTTTATTGTCATATTCACAATGTATTGGCCATTGTATGTTCCGGCCTTCTTGACGTGATTGGAGTTTTGAACTGAACCCTTTATTTCATCCACCAGAGTAGGTTGTTCTAGTTCCACGTGCCATGCATCTTCCAGATGTCTCAGTATCTGTTATCTCCCTTTAACTCAACTCTCCAAGTCACCTATGAAATAAAAGAACAATTGTTTGTATGGAAAGTAAGGCCCTTTAAGTGGCAGCAGAAGAATTATCATTCAACTTTTAAAAGATAAGCTTAAACATTAATTCAATACTTAAATGCAGCGATCAATTTTGAGTTCTTCTGTAGTTTATTGTTGCCTATTGCATTTACTCCTCCCTACCTATTGTGATGAAAGTCCAATTAAGAGCCCTCCGCAGGAGTTACCTTAAATGCCGTCCAATAGGGTGGCTTTTAAGGTAGTGTGTATATGTGTGTGTGTGTGTGAGTATATATATATTTTTGAATAAAAACAGACCACTTTAAGGTTCCATGTAATAAGTTATTTCACTACAACCCTTTTAAAGGGCTTAAGAATTTGAGTGAAACCTGCTCTCAGGGATTGATTGTTTGTTTGTTGTATCTTCCTTTTATGTCGGTCTTCTCTCTCACCGCTTACCCATCTATATCTAGAGATAACAGACATTAAATTAAGTGGCGTCTAGCCTACACAGAGTGGGGTTAAGGATAAAGAATTGAAATGGTACATCTAACTCACTCATGTCTTCTCTCCCACTTCCTCACTTCGTTAATTTTACATATGCTTGGTGCAGTCCGTCAAAAACGTGTAAATTTCTTTTCATTTTTCATTTCAACCTTTGGAAGTAAAATCTGATGATCCAAAGCCCTTTAAAAGGGCTGTGGTGAAATAATTTATTACATGGAACCTTAAAGTCGTCTGTTTTTATTCAAACATATTTGCTCTGAATTTACATTGAGCTCTCTGGATATCATCCTCCTTGGGTCTACCCATACGGATTACCTAGTTTTGCATAATCTATCTATCTATCTATCTATCTATCTATCTATGTATATATATGTGTGTGTGTATATATATATATGTGTGTGTGTGTGTGTGTGTGTGTGTATATATATATATATATGTCTGTGTGTGTATATATATATATATATATATGTGTGTGTGTGTATCTATATATTCCAAAAAATATAATACAAAAATAATTGAAACAAAAACAACTGAAAAAATAGAACAATACAATAAAAACAAAAATAGGCAAAATATTTTTCAAAATAATTGACAAACACTTCCCTAAAAACAGCAGATTATCAAAAATGATCAACAAAAATACAATAAAAATTAATTACAACTGCATGGATAACATGAAGAAAATAACAACTAATCATAATAATAAAATAAAACCAATAAAAGTTACAACAACTATAACAACATGCAGCAAAACAACACCATTAAATATAATTGTAGAAATAAAGGATATTACCCACTTAAAATAAATGTTTAACCAATAACATAATATACAAAGCTATTGTAAATAATAACATTAATACAGATAAAAAAAATTTATACTTCATTTTGAAACAGATCTCTTGAGTCAGTCTAGCAGATAAGTCATTTGCACTTTTCTTAATTTACTTTTCTTAATTTACTCTAGTTATCTATTGTGCATTTTTTGGCAGAAGTTCATCAAATCTAGAAAAACATGTAAAGTTCTTGTAATTTTCACATATTTTCTCAGTTGTATTTTTATATATATGTCAGGATTACTATTATAATATAGACAGTGTGGACATCAGAATCAAGATTGCATGGTGACTGTCAGCTTCACCTTGATTAGAGTAACACGTAATCAGATGATTACTTAAGATGTGTAAACCTGTTTCCTTATGCTATCTTCTAACTTTTTATCAGACCAAGAATGGAATACTGTTGTCATATTTGGACAGGAGCTGCTCAGACCGCATTTTCCAGCCTTAATAGTCATTGCAAGACAACTTATTTTCCACCCTCCAACCCCTCTCTCTCTCTCACAGGCAATCCTCTTGCTGCTCTATTGCTACTTACATGGAAAGTGCTCAGACATACTACATTCCTTGGTTCTACTAGGTCTATTCTTTACGGCAAGGATCCACTATGCCACTTACATTGTAGCAAACCACCCACATTCCCTCTGTATTCCACTTGAACAGAGTCTTCCCATGAATCATTGCCCTGTGGTACCGACTCCCAAGAGGATGTTTCCTTGGTCATTACAATCTTAACCTGTTCAAGTCTTGGATTAACTGTTATCTTTCCCTCCCAACAATATGTTATAATGGAACACACCTATTCTAAAGTTAATAGACTCTCCCACCTATAATAAGTAGTAGTAGCAGTCGCTCAGCGAGTCAGAGAGAGTTGGTCAGTCAGTCGATGTTGGACGACCGTTAGTCGGATATTAAAGTATCAGTGACCACAACTAGATTACTGCATCATTACCTATTATATCAAGTTCCTAACGTTTTGTATGTCGAACCTATTTAGGACCGACAGTACAAAATACAAGCCTCCACTGTGAAACCCCTACATAACTTTGGCGACAAGGGATTCAAACTCATACGGAGGAAGAAAAACCTTTTGTACTACATAACAACTTTGGCGATGAAGGATTCGAATTCATTTGGTGGAAGAGAAAAAAAAAAAAATTAATTCGCCATACATAATAACTTTGGCGACGAGGGATTTGAACTCGTATAGAGGAAGAAAAACCTTTCGTACTACATAACACAATACAAACTACTTCCTAATGTAACCCTTTATTTTGAGTGGCTCCCAGCCTTGTACAAGGTGAAACTTACTGTAAAAAAAAAAAACAAACCCAAAACTGCCAAATATCCCATTACAATGCATTAATTCACTTCTGTAATAAATCTCTTAACAATGCACTTCTATAGTAAATCCCTTAACAATGTACTTGTGATGACTTTCGTGACGAAATTGTGACAAGTTTTGTGATGACGTTCTCTGATTGTCCGCCATTCATTGCATCTGTGATAACATCAAAGGTTGGTTGTATTTGCATACACCCCCAACTCGCTATATGCACAGGTTTGCCTTCTTGGCCATGATCACTTTCAACAAAAAATGAAGGCAATTGTTTTTCAAGACTCTGGCTGGGAAGTAGCAACAATATGATTTCTCACTTAACTGTGGGACCTTTCCTTCAGTTTCTAGAAGTGAATTGCTATCTTACTAATTTCCAGCCATGGAAAAGAATCCTTATATTGACTGTCTGTTGCTTCTGTCCCTGATGTTTCCTCACTGCCTGGCTGCTGGGCAGATACTCACTGACTGCTGGACCCCTTTTCACTGCTTATATGGTTAATGGCTGGGGTCCCATCCCTCTATCTGGAAGTGTTGAGACCACTCACTCCAAAGCCACATGGGTGGTCAAATCTTCAAAGGACTACTTTTATGACTATCTAAAATCATTGATAAAATTTTATGTTTACCAATTCAAAGGCGAACTGGAGTCACGAATCCTGAAAACCTAACAATTCAGTTCTCTCAAGGATGGACTGGAGACAAAATTCCTATGAACATCCAATAGCTGAGTGGACTTAAAAGGAAGGAATTTATCTCCTTATCTTCTAAAAATGTGTAAGAAATCATATTGTTACATTTTTATTTATTTATATCAATGTTTATTATTCTCTCCTCTCCCTTTCTATCAGCTCTTATTTTAATCCTAAAATCTACCTACTTCTCTCATGGCTGGACCATTCTCTCCTTGACTTCCTCTCTCTCATTCTGCTTATATGGGTAATTGCTGGGGTCCCATCCCCCCCCCCACCTTTCTGGAAGTGTTGAGACCACTCCAAAGCCACATGGGTGGTCAAATCTTCAAAGGACTACTTTTATGACTATCTAAAATCATTTATATTTCCCAATTCAAAGTTGAACTGGAGACATGAATCCTGAAACACTGACACTTAAGTTCATTCAAAGATGGACTGAAGACAAAATTCCTACAAAACTCCAATAGCTGAGTGGACTTAAAAGGAAGGAATTTATCTAATTATCTTCTAAAGATGTGTGAGAAATCGTATTATTATGCACTTCTATAGTAAATCCTTTAGCAATGCACTTCTAAAATAAATTCTTTAGCAATGCACTTCTATAGTAAATCCCTTTACAATGCACTTCTATAGTAAATCCCTTTACAATGCACTTCTATAGTAAATCCCTTTACAATGCACTTCTATAGTAAATCCCTTTAGCAATGCACTTCTATAGTAAATCCCTTTACAATGCACTTCTATAGTAAATCCCTTTACAATGCACTTCTATAGTAAATCCCTTTAGCAATGCACTTCTATAGTAAATCCCTTTACAATGCACTTCTATACTAAATAATGTGCAATATTCTGAAATTGTTACTTATATTCTTACTTTTTGCTTTTTCCAGAAAATATTTTCCTGCTATTCAGCAAGAAACAGCAGTTACTTTCCTCAGTCACCTTTAAAGTCTTGTGAAAACAATGCTATACATGAAGTAAGTAATGATTACTATGCATCATATGGTTATAGGTACATACTAAGTATGTGACACCTAGTGAGGATCAAGCTATATGCATATATAGAATTTTTTTATTATTTCAAACGTTATTTTTAGCAGATACTTGTATTTGAACTTTTATATTTTTTGAAAAGCAAAAATCAGAATTTTTTTTTTTTAATTTTATTCAGCAGGATCCAAGTATCACAGTGTTCACAGAATCTGGAGGACGTCAGCTAAATTTATCCTTTAGATCCAGCACAAAATCCGTGGATATTTGCAATGACGTAGCTGTTGAATACAATTGCAACACTGAAGATGTAATGGACTGGTGTTTATTTGAGTGCCTCTTTAATGGCAAACTTGGTATGTTTTATTCTTTTTTCACTGTTTCTCGACTTTTTCTTCTTGTATGGAATTCACCATTAGAAGTAACTATTTAAAAAAAAAATACTCTGTACCAATTTTAGAAAAATAACAATGGGTACATCCAAAGCTGGTGTGTACTACATTCAAGCCCACAACTGGAGCAAGAGTTTGATTGGGGGCTATAGGTACTGCTTTATAACAATTTACTAACATTTGCTTTTTTTTTTTTTTTTTTTTTTTACATTTATATATGTTACAAATTAAACTAAGCACAACTAACTATTAAAGGATGGAAAATTTTTGCAGATTTTAACGTCATTCTGGGATCTCTTTTTTTTTCTTGTACAAATCTGTGAATTTGCTGATGCTAAGTCTTGAAAAAAAACTAAATAAAATTCTCTATTTTTTTGTCCATAATGTTGAATGTGTTAATATTCAACTTTTTAATAAGAAAAATCTCAAGTGATGCTAAAAATTGCCACAAAATGTTGATTTATTTAAGATGGAATGATTGATTACAAATTTGTATTTAGATATATTTATTTATTTTCAGTTTTTCTAGTTAATTTGTTCACCTATATTGTTTATAAGCCCTTATTTACATAATTAGGTTACAATAAAATTTGTATTTTATATGAATTCTACATTATGAAAATTAAGATATAGCAGAGTTGGGGGGGGGGCATATCATAAATTCATGGGGGGCATGAGATCCTTGTACCGGCCCCAGGGCACAGCAGGTAAAAGCAAGTAGAGTTTGTATTTCAGTACTGAACCTCTTTCTTTTATTAAAGTCATATCAACAATGTCTTTGAAATTTTTAGATAAACAATTGTCATTATTAATGAATTTAAATTTGTATTGTTATCTTGGTTGTTTTAGCCAGTATGTAACATAGTGAGTTTTTACTTGAATTGGCTTAGGGCACACAAAATAAAGTGGGCACTAAATGATTTTACTAGGGACAGAAAGGTCTGGTGTTTTATGACTAATAGTAAGGTCTAAAACTAAGATCTTCAGAGTGACCATCTGCTGTCCACAAGTAGGTAGAAGGGAAGTAATGCAAATAAATAAAAAATATTGGGATCAAGTGCCACTTGGCTGGAAGGTAAGGAGTTCCAGTTTGATTAGAGTTGTCATTTGTGTGCCAGCTGTTATTGGAGGTCAATGGAATTCTTCCTGATTGTTGTCTGTCCTGAGAAAAATTACAAGTAGCAGTTGAGATGTCCCAAATGTCAACTACCTACCCAACAGGCCATGTCAAATGAATCCATGAATAAAGAACCAAATATATTGGAAACTGGATTCATATGTCTGCTGGCAAATGTTGATGGTGTGTATGATGGGTATTTATTCTTTTCTACCTTATTTAGATCATCTCGTGTTAACGTTTGTGTTACCATTCATGAGCCTTGTCCAATGTTGTAGATAGTGTGAAAAAATGGGTCCCCAAGTGAAACAAATAAATAAAAACTTTTAGGATCAAGTGCCACTTGGCTGGAAGGTAGGAAGTTTCAGTTGTAGATTTATATAAGCAAAGTCACAGTTAGAATTGTTGGTTGCAAACTCCACATAGTGTGGTGAGACAGTGGTCAATTTTGCACTGGCAGTTAGCAGGGTGCAAACAATACAGTTAAGAACAAGAGAGAAGTAGAGTCAGAGGTCAATGGAATTTTCACTGCCTGAAGGGAAGATTTGGTCCATTTGTCTGTCAGGATAGAAGTAACAAGTAGAATTTTTGTTATTTACATAATAGCATTTCATGTGTATGTTGTATAAAGCAACATTCAAGAAAAGCTGAGGTGAACAAAAAGTTTATATTTAAGAATAATCTTGAAATATCTTTCCTTAACTGTTTTTTTTTTTTTTTTTTAAATTCTTGAATAAATGAAAGTTTGCATTCAAACCAGAATATTTAACTAGAAATATAGCCATCCCAAATAAAAGGTTAAAAATATTTTTCTGAAAGTAAATGACAGTTTTGTTAGATTACACTTTCATTGCTATCAAATTTTAATTTTGTATTTATTACAAAATATGCAACCAATAGACAAAAAGTTCAGTTTGTAGTGAGGAAAAAATTATTGGAAATAGGATTTTAAATTATATAAAAACAAATGATTTAGCTGTGAAAAGAAAAGAAAAAAACATTTTCTTTTTTTTCTTTTTTTTAAATACTATTCTATTGTAAAAATGCCTTTTCTTCAGCTATTCAACATAAATTTGAAGTGAACCAGAATTATATTTTGATTAAATGAAACAGTGCATTATTCATTTATGTCAACATGTCTCCTCATTTTTGGTTCATACAGAATAACATTTCACATGTATGTTGTATCAAGCAACATTCAGGGAGTTTTGAATTAATTCCTTTATGGGGGAATGTTGTTTCATCTTTTTTGTTTTTTGTATCCTAGAATCTTAAGACATGCACTTTCTTTTTTGCCAACCTTTCATCCTCATGGCATTGTACTACTCGTTTACTGAGTTAGTACAAAGGTTTACAGACTAGCATAAAAATTGAATTCACAACTGTAAAGAACAAGACAGATGTAGAAACAGGTTCCAATGTCATCATTCACTAGACTATTGTCATATAAAACACTACAGTGATGGAATTTGTGAGATTTAAACTTAATGAATTCTTCTGAGCGGAACTTTTCATTTGGTACTTATTTTTTATGCTTGGCTTGCATATTACATTATTCAACCATAGCATATGAACTTTCTAATTAACTTCCATAAATGATGTCTTATTACATTTATATGTCATTCATCATTCTTGATTTTGCAAGTGGCAATTTGGGTGAAATATTACTTTTCAATGTTATTTATCATCAGGGAGTATCTGGTTTCACTTTTGTATTCTCTCCTGTAATTATATATTATATAGGAAGTTTTTGGTTATACATTCTTTTAGTTTGAATTTTATATGGCAGTTGTTTTATAAATATTGCTTTGGAATTATGACAGTTTAGAGCTTGTAGATTATCTAAAACTCTTGCACTCTACATTTAATATAAGGTCAGATGGTTGTTGATTTTATGTGTTCTTTTCCTTTCAAGTTTGTATGTCTACTGGCAGATGCAGATGGTATGTATGATGGGTATTTGTTATTTTCTACCTTATTTGGATCATCGCATGCCGAGGTTTGTGTTACCACTTACGAATCTTGTCCAATGCTGTAAGTTGTGGGGTAAAATGGGTCCCCACTTGAATTGGCTTAGGACATGCACAAACCGGAGTGGGCCTTAAACGATTTTATCTGGGTTAGGTTTTATGAGTATATAGAAAGTAAAGTTTTTTTTGTTTACTTTCATGATTTCTTTCTTAAACAATTAAGTGACTATTTGTCAGGATTTGATTACATAAATCAAAGACCAGAATGATTACTTGGGGAAATCACTTTTGATTTGAACTCTGTATACAGGGTGTCCATAAAGTTCGTGTGCACTTTAAAAAATTTATAACTTTATTTGTATTTGTGATAGAAATAATTTGTAAAAAGGATTAGAAAGAAGTAAATCTATATTTTTTTCAGGTTTTATTGAAATTTTATTTGAGTTTCCACATGTCCTTCATCATTAGCAGTACAAAGTACGATTTTGCAGTTCACGGAAAACATTTGCCAACTGATTTACAGTAATGCCTGAAATCACATTAGTTGTTTTAGCTTTCAAATCTTCTGATGAACTAGGTTTGGTTGCATACACAATTGTTTTCACATGTCTGCATAAAAAAAAATCTAATGGAGTCAAATCTGGTGAATGTGGCTGCCAATAAAATGGTTCATCCCTTCTGATCTATCTGTTAGGAAATTTACCCGCTCGGCCCGGTGGCTAGGATCAAAGTGTAGTATCTGCACTTTGTGAGCTGCCGGGTCGGGTGTCTGTCGAACTCTCTGCTTGCAGAGAGAAACCCGGACGAAGCTCTGCCGAAGGGTAGGGTTTTGTTGGGGGAAGTTGACAGAACTGGCCTGCCTCAGCGGGTTTGGATGGTTATTTATTTTTGGCTGGGCCTACGGGCTCAGAGATACCCACATTAAAAAGGCCTTGTGCCACATTCGATCCCCGTGGGTGGATTGATAAATACCATCTGTTAGGAAATTTCTGACTTAGAAACTCTCTAAGACGCAGAGCAAAGTGACAAGGAGCTCCGTCTTGTTGAAACACTGGATTATAACATTTTTTACAGATTATTTCTATCGCAAATACAGATAAAGTTTTAAATTTTTAGAAGTGCGCACGAACTTTATGGACACCCTGTGTATCCTTTTTTTATGTTCATTCATGAAGCTATCACTATGGTTAAAACCTCACACTATAATAAAAAGTCTGAACTGGTGAAACTGTTTAAAATATTACACACTTGTCAATAACATTAGCACAGTTTCAAACTTGGCATTTGTAAATAAGAACAAAGTGCAGATAACTCTTTAAAAAGTCAGGAATGATTTGACACTTTATTTATATTATGAACAGGACCACCATTTCTGAGATGATTAAAAAAAAAATTTTTTTTTTTTTTTATTCTGATAAATGCCTTGGCTTCAGCAAAACCCCAGGAATGCTAATTTACCAAAATTATCCCTCCTCCATCCTGCCACCGAAATTTCCATTTTTCTTATGAATGGGCCAGTTAACTCCAGTAATACCATTTTGTCTGTATTTTTTAAAAAAGAAAAAAATTTATTTTCAGAGCGTTTAGTTGAAGACCATGAGACAATTACCAGCATTTGTCACAAGTGGGACCCTGTCCACAATGGTTATTTTGTCTTCCGTACAAATCCTTGTAAACACGGCCCTGTACTCTATCCAGAGGTAAGCAAAAAGAGAAGGAAAATTTTTAGCAACTTTGGTTCAATTCATGAGTAATTACATCCTAACATCATACGCTAACAACCCCCACCTTCCCAAATGATGTGATTATTTATATCTGTTTTTTTTTTTTTTAATTTTTTTTTTTATTTCATTTACGGTCAAATCTCACTGAAAAAAAAATATTAAAGTTAAGCAGTGTTGAGCCTGGTCAGTACTTAGATGGGTTACCACTTGTGAACACTGGGTACTTGTATATCTTTTTTAAACCCAAGTTACAAAATTTTATAAAATGTTTTGGAAATTATTCAGCAATAGAATTATTTAATTTCTTTTTTTTTTTTTTTTTTTTTTTAAATTTTGTAGAAACATTTGAATTTATTTGTTAAATTAAAATAAATACATACACAATTTGAATGAAGCTGAAATGGACATCTAATTTATTTTTGTGTCTGAGAAAGTCTTCGGGTAAAAAGAAAATATTATGTCAAAATGTGCAACCCTTTGAAGACATTTTATGACACCTTCTGTATTTAAATTAAATATATTTTCTAATAAATGTATTTTAAATAGACAAGTAATTTAGATGTGAAATTTGATTGGCTTGCTGTCAGTGAAGTGACATGTCCCAAACTAGTAATTTAAAAAAAAAATGTTTTATTTTTATAGGTTTAGGATTTGTCATAATTTTTAAATGAATTAATAAACTTTGCTTTGTTTTTACTAACACAATATTTCAACTGTTGTGTCCTCCATCTTACTTCCAGTGTCTGTCAGTCTTGGTGAACTTCAGGAAATTTTGTATGTTGCAAGCCTCTTGCTGTTCTATCACTATTTCCATGTAAAGTGTTCAGATGAACTATATTCCTTAGTTCCACAAGTTCTTCTCTTCACAGCTAAAACCCACCATGCCCTTCATATTGTAGCGAACCACCCACATTCCCTTTGTATTCCTTTGGTGAGATGTAAGTTTCACTTAAGCAACTTCTTCCAACAAACTACTACATTTTGGAACTGACTCCCGAGAGGATGCTTCCCTGATTACTACAATCTTAACCTGTCTAAGCCTATGGTTAACTATTACCTTCCTTACATGTCCACATAATCTGTGCCTCTTACTCTGTAACTCTCTAACTTGAGTAAGTTTACCTCTAGGCTTTATACAAGTTAAACACTATATTAAAAATAAAAAAAAAAAATACTTCATTTAGTTGTTTTAAAAAATGCTTGTAACAATAAAATGTGAACTGAGTTCTCTAAGACGTAATATCAGTAGTAAACTATTGTATTGAACCCATTATTTATTTACTAGAAGTAACCATGAAACTTTCAGTTTCCCAATTTGAATTTTCTGATGAATCTTAAGTTAATGATTGAAAAACCTCATAGTGAATTCTATGACAATAAAATATCTGTAGAAATTTCCCTATCACTTTCTTAAGAATATTTGAGTTTAACGACTTTAACAAAATATTGCAATAACAATCATTAATATGAATGCTGGTCATTATTTTAAGAAGTGGGTACAAATGAAGATTTGAAATTGACAACTTTTCTCCATTTCACTGAAACAGATGTTAAACACTTCTATCTTCGTTTTCATTCATTTTCTCACTGAAACCAAGTAGTGTTTGTCTTTTGTTTTTTCTACACAATCAAAACGGAATAGTCCATTATTTATGAGGTATTAGCAGGAGAGGTTAAACACTTCCATCTTCTCTTCTTTGTTTCATTCTAGCCAAATCCCCATCTTAGGAATTTATAACTGGATTTTTGATGATTGCTTTACTTGGTTTGTCATTTGATAGTGTGTTGGAAAAATGGCAAATTTTATCATGAGTCGTCTTTGCTTCTCGGCCTTTTGGCTAAGATTCGATCACGGCTATGACTAGGTTGGACCGGCTCGGGTCTGGACCAGCTATGACTGGCTTGGACCAGCTCTGACCAGCTTGGACAAGCTATGACCAGCTAAGACCAGATTGGACCAGCGGCCCGAGTGAAAACACGTTAAAAACCGACCTTGTGTCACAACCTGACTCACTGGGGGGTCAGGTAAATAAACGGCCTTTTGGCAAAGATGAAAGTGTAGTATCTGTTCTTATCACTTTAATCTGATTTTCTCTCTCCACTTTTATCTTCCCTTCTTTCTTCCTTTCATTTTCTCACTGAATCCAAGCAGCGTCTTTTTCCCTCTTTTCACACAATCACAATGGAATAGTTCATTATTTATAAGATATTGGCAGAGGATAACAGTCATTAAAACTAACAAAGGGAGGGACAAGCACAATTATAATATGATTATATTATATATAATACATTTATAATGTATATATAATATTATAATATAAGGAGGCATGGTGGAGTAATGGATAGTGGCTCAGATTGAGGAATCGGAAATCCGAGTTCAAATTCCAGTCGAATCCATTACATTCACTTATGTACTTATACTCTTGGGAAAGATATGAATCCTCTTCTTCTCCCTCTCAGCTATAGGTAAATAGCAGGACAGACTGGGTTCTATAGCCTTGGATGGTAACTGGTCTATTGCAGAAAGAAATGGCAGCCTACTGCGGGAAAAAATCTGCCTCGTCAGTCATGCATCCAAAGATACATGATTGCCTAAGTGTGTATCACGCATGGCACATAACTGACTGACTGATGTGCTAATATCCTTGGGAAAGATATGAATCCTCTTCTTCTCCCTCTCAGCTATAGGTAAATAGCAGGACAGACTGTGTTCTATAGCCTTGGATGGCAACTGGTCTAAAGCAGAAAGAAATGGCAACCTATTTCGGGAAATAACGCTGTTATGTCAGTCATGTATCAAAAGATACATGATCGCCTAAACTTGTGTCACGGATGGCACATAACTGACTGACTGATGTGCTAATACCCTTGGGAAAAGGTATTAATCCTCTTCTCCACCCAGCTATGGGTAAATAGCAGGACAGACTGTGTTCTATAGCCTTGGATGGCAACTGGTCTAAAGCAGAAAGAAATGGCAACCTATTTCGGGAAATAACGCTGCCATGTCAGTCATGTATCAAAAGATACATGATCGCCTAAGCTTGTGTCACGGATGGCACATAACTGACTGACTGATGTGCTAATACCCTTGGGAAAAGGTATTAATCCTCTTCTCCACCCAGCTATGGGTAAATAGCAGGACAGACTGTGTTCTATAGCCTTGGATGGCAACTGGTCTAAAGCAGAAAGAAATGGCAACCTATTTCGGGAAATAACGCTGCCATGTCAGTCATGTATCAAAAGATACATGATCGCCTAAGCTTGTGTCACGGATGGCACATAACTGACTGACTGATGTGCTAATACCCTTGGGAAAAAGGTATTAATCCTCTTCTCCACCCAGCTATGGGTAAATAGCAGGACAGACTGTGTTCTATAGCCTTGGATGGCAACTGGTCTAAAGCAGAAAGAAATGGCAACCTATTTCGGGAAATAACGCTGCCATGTCAGTCATGTATCAAAAGATACATGATCGCCTAAGCTTTGTCACGGATGGCACATAACTGACTGACTGATGTGCTAATACCCTTGGGAAAAGGTATTAATCCTCTTCTCCACCCAGCTATGGGTAAATAGCAGGACAGACTGTGTTCTATAGCCTTGGATGGCAACTGGTCTAAAGCAGAAAGAAATGGCAACCCTATTTCGGGGAAATAACGCTGCCATGTCAGTCATGTATCAAAAGATACATGATCGCCTAAGCTTGTGTCACGGATGGCACATAACTGACTGACTGATGTGCTAATACCCTTGGGAAAAGGTATTAATCCTCTTCTCCACCCAGCTATGGGTAAATAGCAGGACAGACTGTGTTCTATAGCCTTGGATGGCAACTGGTCTAAAGCAGAAAGAAATGGCAACCTATTCGGGAAATAACGCTGCCATGTCAGTCATGTATCAAAAGATACATGATCGCCCTAAGCTTGTGTCACGGATGGCACATAACTGACTGACTGATGTGCTAATACCCTTGGGAAAAGGTATTAATCCTCTTCTCCACCCAGCTATGGGTAAATAGCAGGACAGACTGTGTTCTATAGCCTTGGATGGCAACTGGTCTAAAGCAGAAAGAAATGGCAACCTATTTGGAAATAACGCTGCCATGTGTCAGTCATGTATCGGATGGCAAAAGATACTGATGTGATACCCTTGGGAAAAGGTATTAATCCTCTTCTCCACCCAGCTATGGGTAAATGCTGGTCTAAAGCAGAAAGAAATGGCAGCCTATTTGGGAAATAACGCTGCCATGTCAGTCATGTATCAAAAGACATGATGCCTAAACTTGTGTCACGGATGGCACATAACTGACTGACTGATGTGCTAATACCCTTGGGAAAAGGTATTAATCCTCTTCTCCACCCAGCTATGGGTAAATAGCAGGACAGACTGTGTTCTATAGCCTTGGATGGCAACTGGTCTAAAGCAGAAAGAAATGGCAACCTATTTCGGGAAATAACGCTGCCATGTCAGTCATGTATCAAAAGATACATGATCGCCCTAAGCTTTGTGTCAATGGATGGCACATAACTGACTGACTGATGTGCTAATACCCTTGGGAAAAGGTATTAATCCTCTTCTCCACCCAGCTATGGGTAAATAGCAGGACAGACTGTGTTCTATAGCCTTGGATGGCAACTGGTCTAAAGCAGAAAGAAATGGCAACCTATTCGGGGAAATAACGCTGCCATGTCAGTCATGTATCAAAAGATACATGATCGCCTAAGCTTGTGTCACGGATGGCACATAACTGACTGACTGATGTGCTAATACCCTTGGGAAAAGGTATTAATCCTCTTCTCCACCCAGCTATGGGTAAATAGCAGGACAGACTGTGTTCTATAGCCTTGGATGGCAACTGGTCTAAAGCAGAAAGAAATGGCAACCTATTTAGGAAATAACGCTGCCATGTCAGTCATGTATCAAAAGATACATGATCGCCTAAACTTGTGTCACGGATGGCACATAACTGACTGACTGATGTGCTAATACCCTTGGGAAAAGGTATTAATCCTCTTCTCCACCCAGCTATGGGTAAATAGCAGGACAGACTGTGTTCTATAGCCTTGGATGGCAACTGGTCTAAAGCAGAAAGAAATGGCAACCTACTGTGGGAAAAAAACTTTGCCATGTCAGTCATGTATCGAAAGATACATGATCGCCTAAGCTTGTGTCACGGATGGCACATAACTGACTGACTGATGTGCTAATACCCTTGGGAAAAGGTATTAATCCTCTTCTCCACCCAGCTATGGGTAAATAGCAGGACAGACTGTGTTCTATAGCCTTGGATGGCAACTGGTCTAAAGCAGAAAGAAATGGCAACCTACTGTGGGAAAAAAACTTTGCCTTGTCAGTCATGTATTGAAAGATACATGATTACCTAAGCGTGTATCATGCATGGCACATAACTGAATATAATATATAATACAATTATTCTCATTCTTCAGTCTATGTCTCAAGATGTCTTGCTCGTTTTTTTTTTATTACTGTTCATTTGTTGCTAGACATGTTTCCACTGATGGGTAAAGTAGGAAAGAGAAACCGTATCTGAAAGAGCCAAGTTTGAGAGCAAAGTCTTCAGCAACAGTAAGAAAAAGAAGCTGCAATTAAAGGAGGTCAAGTGTAAAAGCAGCAGCAGCAGGCATACAGTATAAATCATTAGATTCAAGGCTAATTCTAGGCCAATTCAAGATTCAGAGTTGTTTTCGGGAACAATAGTGAAAAGGATTAAAAAAATTGCTTCCTTAATTTCGTGGCATAGTAACTAAGAGTCTAATCCAGTGGTTCTCAACCTTTTTTTACCCATGGACCCCTTTCCCCTTCTTTTTATATTGGTGGACCCCTTCATAGCTATTGGACATAAAAACAATTTTCTATTCTTCACTAATATAAATTTTAAGGTTTTAATTATCAAAGAAATAGTATACGATTAAGCTTTATTTTTAAATGAAAACTAATTTAATACAAATAAAATATTCTACTATAATTATAATAATAATTATTATTACTATTTTTAATTAACACAACAATTGTGTTTTGCCTGTGGACCCCCGGAAATATTACATGGACCCCTAGGGTCCATGTGGACCCCGGTTGAGAACCACTGGTCTAATCATTGGATTGGGTTTAAAAAAAAACTCAAACTCAGTGAAAACGGCTAAAAATTGAAGATGACAGGATATCTCTGGACACAGAAAGCAGAATGAGAAAAATCTACCCCTTTGGATTGAATAAAGAGTTCACTTCAAAATACCCTGACAGCTATCCAGACTGACAGATACCTGAAGAAGGCCATCAGGTAGAAAAGCTGAAACATTGTAACAACAAGAACATTAGTCCAAATGTAAATAAAACCATATTTGATGTCTTTCATGCTTTTAATTTTTATTATTGAATCTGTTTTCAGTTGGCTTATTCATCAAGTGTTATGGGAGATGAAGACGATGTGGCAAACATTTCTGAAGAAGCTCAAAAGGCAAAAGTTCTTCTTCTTCGAGTAAGTTGATTTTATTAATCCATTATATCTAAAAAGTACTTTAGATGCAAATTGATTAGATTTTCTCATTGTACTTAACAATAATTAGTCGAAAACTTATGAGGGTACCAAAATATTGTCGTCATTTCAAAATTTTGTGCACAAACCTTAATTATGACCTGGAGTAAATAATTTTGCATTGCACATATACATAATTCACTTAAAAACCACCCTATTGGGTGGGATTTAAGCTAGCCCCTGAGGAGAGCACTTGATTGGACCTTCATCACAGTAGTTAAGGAGAAATAGATTGTTATGGAGTGATTTCACAGTGGAGGCTTGTATTTGTACTAAGTCGGTCCTAAAATAGGTTCGACGTACAAAACGTTAGGAACTTGATATAATAGGTATAACGCAGAGTAATCTAGTTGTGGTCGCTGATACTTTAGTATTTGACTAACAGTCGCCCGACTTGGACTGACTGCCCGAACTGACTCACTGAGCGACTGACTTGTTATTCTTACTACTCCTACTTATTATAGGTGGGAGTCTATTAACTATAGAATAGGTGTGTTCCACTATAACATAGATGCAATAGGCAACAATAAACTGCAGATAAACTCGAAACTGATTGCTGTGTTAAGTATTGCATTAATATTTAAGCTTACCTTTTAAAAAAGTTCAATGATAATTCTTCTGCTGCCACTTAAAGTCTTCAAGTGTCTCTGCATCCTTGGGGGTGAGACATTATTTTCCATCACAAACCCCTTTCTCACAGACAAAATGTCGCAAGCCTCTTGCTGCTCTATCACTATTTCCATATAAAGTGTTCAGATGAACTATATTCCTTAGTTCCACAAGTTATTCTCTTCACAGCTAAGGACCACCATGCTCTTCATATTGTAGCGAACCACCCACATTCCCTTTGTATTCCTTTGGTGAGATGTAAATTCTACTCAAGCAACTTCTTCCAACAAACTACTATATTTTGGAACTGACTCCCAAGAGGATGCTTCCCTGATTACTACAATGTTAACCTGTCTAAGCCTATGGTTAACTATTACCTTCCCTACATGTCCACATAATCTGTGCCTCTTACTCTGTAACTCTCTAACTTGAGTAAGAGTAAGTTTACCTCTGGGCTTTATACAAGTTAAACACTGTTAAAAATTAAAAAAAATTTACTTCATTTAGTTGTTTTAAAAAAAATGCTTGTAAATATTAAAATGTGAACCGAGTTCTCTAAGATGTAATATCAATCGTAAACTATTTCTTAGTAATCTTCTTACTATTTTCATTTTCTCTTATTAACTAAAATAGGACAAGTGAGTTTTATAATTATGAGATCTAATAAAATATAATACTAACTCTTTAATCTTTCCAACAGAAATATGCACAAGTCTATCATGTTTAGGCTGTAAATTTATACAAGTCAAAGAACATTGGTGATTGTTATATATTTGTTGACAATAATTTGTGTTTATATATTGACAGGGAAGAAACTCATTTCTCTATTGGTGACTAATATAAGTACCACTATGTTGAAAACAATATTTGTACTCTGAACATATATTTGTAATTCTGTTTATATAGTGACACTTTATATACTTATCTGCATTATTTATCTTTGGGTATTTCTATCAATAATATAATAAATTTAGAATGTATAAAGTGTTTTTTTTTTTTTTTTTTCTGAACAAGACAAATATAATCAATTACTAATCTCCATTTCTGACAACCTTTCCCGTTTCCTGGTAACACATTGTTGTATGAGAATGAAAATTCTCACTTTCTGAACAGAATGAAAGTAGTACATGAAATCTCGATTTTATGAATCATTTAGGATAGGATCCTTGTAAATTTGTGCATTTCTAGTTTGTGTTAAATCTGCTTTTTAACTCTGAAGCAAACAAATCATTTTAAGGTGTTTTGTTTTAATAAACAAAACACCTATGAAATACCAATGTTTTTCTTTGTTTTACCTTCAACATAAATTATGCTTTAAGTACACTAAATGAAATAGGCTTAAAATGCTATTCACCTTCTGTTTTCATATTGTGTTTATTAATCTTTTCTTAATCAGACACAAAGCCATAAGGTCATAATATCTGCTGTTTCTAACAGGTCAACCATCAAAGTCCTGATCAATTCAGTAATTAGTTCAGAACTGGTAATTTCAACATGATTTAACAATAAATTTAAAAAAAAAAATATTTGTAGATCTATTTACCAGTGTATTATTATCTGATATATGTGATAAATATTGAAGACCAAATACTTTATTAATAAATTTGGTTGGTGAGCATATAAAGATCTGAAAACAACAATAATCAATAAATATATTAAAGAGGAGTGGCAGAACCTATGGAACTCCTGCCCAAACAATAAATTGTTCAAAACTATAGGAGAATGACATCAGAAACACCAAATCTGAGAGGAATTGATTATGTCCAAGTTCCATATTAGATATACTGCCATATCCCATTTGTATATTCTAAAAAATGAAGATCCTCCGGTATGTGTGGTATGCCAAGAGTTATTCACCATAAAACACATCCTCATAAACTGCAGTAATTTTAATTCAACCCTCTTAAAATACTACCAAACAAGAAACTTAAACACATATGCTAGGCCACAAAAATCTCCTGAGCCGACCAAGCATAGAAATGAATTCAATATGAGAACCAGTAATAAGGAGTGCCAGAGAAAAGCAATAATAGCAACAAAAGTTGCAATATGAGCTCTGGTAAAAAACATGAAATGATAACAGCAAAAATTGCAATATGAGCACTGGTTAAAAAATGGTTGCTGAATACCCAAAAATTTATACACAGATGTCCTCAAGGACACATGTGGCACAGTGGATAAAGGCGTTAGATCCAGTGACAGGACCCAAAGTGTGTGAGTTCAATACCCGGTTAAGGTAGTGGAGAACTTTCAGAGGGAAATTAACAGGAGATAACTGACATCCATTAAACATGGCACGTGGAACTAGAACAGTGAGCGAAATAAAGGGTTCAGTTTTGACATTCCAACCACCTGAAGAAGGCCGAAATGTTGTAATAAATATGGCGACAAAGATGAGGACAATAGTCCGAATAATGTACATAATACCTCATCTCAGATATAGACGCATACTGAAGAAACTTAAAATAATTTTTTCAAAATAGTGATTCATTTTACATATTTCAGTTCCTAAGAGAAATGAAACTGATTTTAAAAATATATTTTTAAAAAAATGACCATAAAAAATTTCCTATTTAAAATAATTTTTTTTGACTGCTTAAATACAAAATTTTATTTAAAAAAAAAAAAAAAATTTGGCATTAAATGACCCAATGGGTTGATATACCATATAACAAATCAAACCAGTAACTCTGAGATATGACTGTCATAAACTCTCCAGGGTACAGGCCTGGATGATAGTACATGGAGGCAATGGGCTGCAAAGAGCACATATCCCCTTCCCACATTTTTGTCATACCAACAAGGTCCAAGGGAATACAGGGCATTGAATTTCTGGTTGGCTTGGCTGCAGGTGGTTGTCAGTGTTGACAGTTAACTGCCTTTAGGGCTCCACTCTGGATTCTCTTCCATAGCCTTTTCAGTGTTTGCATATGGTTGCAAGGCATCAGAGGTTTAAAAATCAGGGTTTTTCTACCCCTAGTTGGGCTGCCTTTCCAGGCTGATGAGCTCCATCTACCTGAAGCAACTGGTTATAAGATGTCAGATGTCTGCATTTACCTCTTCTCTGGCTTCATGAGGGGTTTTGTTGTCAGATTTTTATAGTCATTGGGAGCTTGTACCCATTACCACCCTAGTCTATTACAACCTTTGGAGCATATATATGTACATGTATAAACATATATATATATATATATATATATATATATATATATATATATATATATATATATATATATAGCTTTCCCTGATGATCCGCTTAGGTGAAACCTGGGTAGGTTTGTCTGGCTCACTAGGTTTATCTAGGTCTGCTCTACGGTTGTATTGAGCTCTTTTCGTTAGTTAGTTGTTTACTCGTGTCGGGTTTTTCTTTGGGCTTCAAACCTGTATCTGTGCGATTTTTTTTCGACAGACTTTCATGTTTCTAGCTCTTTCTTTTTTAAAACCTTTTTTTCCCTCAAGATTGATTTGATTATTGGCAAATCAAAAATTTGAAGGTTTTTCGAAACGAGTATAGTTAACTATATTTATATTTTTTTATATATATATATATATATATATATATATTCATACATGTTTCATTAAATAATATAGACAAGTGTTGTCTGTTTATTTTATGTAAATTCTTTTCATAACATCTGATAAGCTTAATAACATTATCATTAAACGAAGAAAGAAAATCACAATATTGATCCATATTTTTTAATCCAATCTAAGCTTTCGGCTTACATAAGCCATTATCAAAGATGTCAATTACTGTACAACATATTAAGCAATATACGGACAAGACAGTGATGATAGTCTGTGATTGTTTACATGGATGATTTCCTAGCAACGATAAACACATGCATATAAGGCGCTAGAAGCGAAAATCGCACCGCATCTCACGGCGTCACACATGACCACACAAGAGTGAATTGGAGAAGTATGAAGTATGGGAAGCCGTTGGTATAAACCAATGGCTTCTGTTACCAATTATAGACATTTAAGGATATTTGTAGAGATTCCATAGTTGATTTTGTTTAGGTTAGCTTTCAACTGTTTAATGTATATAGCTTCAAGGATTTTTAGTTTTTTGTTTTCATGTTTAAGTATAATTGTGTTTTCAACAAGGATTTTACGGAATTGTGTGTGCGGTTAGGCATGTTGTTTTAAATGCCTAAAAATGTTAGTTTTCATTCAAATTTAGTGTCAAGCGTCGTGAAAGCGAGTTTGTGGTGTGACCAACATAAATATTATTTAATTCGTTGAAGATACAATCTCCCAAAGGGCACTTGAATTTATAAACTATGTTGGTTTTTTGCAAATCGCTAACCAGGGGAGAAGAATCATTGCGAAGAATTAAGTTGGATATACTAGATTTAGTGTAGTATATGATTAATTTAATTTTTTTGCTAGGATCTGAATAATAAATAATGAAGAAATATTGTTTTAAGGTGTGCTATGTTTATGGAATAAAGTGCTCAATATCAGGGATAGAGGATGTGTAAATATAAAATTGAACATTGAAGTCAACCCTCACAGGCGACAGACTGTTTCATGCTAGATGTAATCATCAGGTTAAGTGTAGAGATAAAACACCACATAGAAGAAGACTCTGGAAAGAACAGGCCTTAGGTTTAAGGCTCCAAAATTCTTCCTGCTTGTTCTGCGCAACACTCACCTTATGTTGTTTAAGTGTACCCCGATTGTGATTTTTCTTTTATTGATAGAAATAAATATTTTGTGACATGGCATGGATAGGCTTTTTGTTCAGTCCATGGGTTGAGTTTGTTCTCATTCCAATGTCCATGTTAGGGGACATATCTCATGTCAGTTAATTCTGCTAGGAAAGTTGATTCACAGTGTTATGTGAGACAATTTTTTCTTGCCAGAATCTATCTTATATCTTTATAAGTCTACCATTTGTTCATGCTTCCTTCTGCTTTTTCTATAAATACTTTTATGGTAATTGTTCTAATAAACTTTCCTTTTTGGTACCTAGACATTATGAATTTGAGAGCAGTACTAGAATGGCAGCTAGGTCTCATCTCTTTGCAGTTGAAATGTTTCGATATAACTGTATATTCTATTTTAACAGTTTCTTCACTCACATTTATTGTTTGTGGAACTCTTTCTAATCAGCTTCGACCTTCGAAAATTTAAATGCAATGTCAATTGTTATCTTTTGTTTTTTTAATTCTTGTTCTTTTATTGTTCTCTCTCCTTAATAGCATTTTTTGTCTTTCTCTAACACTCAGTAATACACATCTTAGTGGCTTTATTGCCTTGCTTTTAGTGAAATAATTTTAAAAAAAAAGAAGAAAAATCTCATTTTTGTGATGCTACATTTTTTTTTTTTTTTTTTTCAACTAAACCAGAATGTATGACTTTTACTGACTGACCTAGAGAATGCACTCATGATCACTAAGTAACTCAGTGCACTTAACCAATATTTTTATTTATCAGGTGATTGCCAAGAATGTAATCATCTGTACAGAAGAAAATAGTAACTCATCTCATTGGACAAAACATTCTTGCATTGCATGCTGTTGATTTCCCAAAAGAAGTGGGAATGAGTGCAAAAGTTTTTCCCCCTCGCCCTCTTATAGTCAGAAGGACACAAAATGCATGCTGGGATATTTTTCTTAGCTAATAAAATGAGACGGCTTGCATTTTGGCATGATTCAGTGCAGATTTGCCAATCCAGGTGAATTTGTCGAATTCTCTACCTTTGAGTAGAGGGGAACCCAGATGAGGCTATGCTGAAGACCAGAGTCATGTCTGGGGAGGTTGACAAGCTTGACCCCGTGTATGCAGGCTTTATAGAAAATTTTTGCCTAAGCCTATGGGCTTGGATTTGCCTCACACAAAAATGGCCTTGTGCCAAATCCTACCTTATGAAGAAGCGATGTAAATAACCTCAGTCCAGATCTGCCTTAACTACTAGACAGACTTACAGCGTTCACTTGTCCAACCTTGCCTTCATATACAAACATAACTTATAGTTTGGGATTTCTTTTGCCTTCTTTCCTGTTTGATTTGTTTTAACTATATTGCTTACACAATTGTTGCTGTTTCATCCTTTTGACGTTTTTATCTTTTCATGGCAAACTTTATTCTGTTTGTGTTATTTATCTTGCATTTGACAATGGCTTCTAACTCATCACATACTGTTTTTGTAGAAAAAAAATGGCCTCACCACTGGACAAAGATGGTGGTATTGTAGGTCAGCAAACCTGCAAATCCATTTCACTTCTGGCCAATCATAAGCAGCACAAATTAAGAACTTCTAATGGTTCTGTCATGAGTTAATAGTAAAGTTCCCTTGAATGGCTGCGAGTAAGTGGAGCTAACCTTACGGCTTTTTGAGAACTTCTATTGAGTTGGGATTTTCTGTGGTCGTGTATATGTTCATGCTTGGCAATGTGAGTGGAATGAAGAAAAAAAACTCAAAGACTTGAATAAGACTGTTCAAACAGCTTTTATTTGTTTGAAAAGCGGGTGCAAAATAGTAGGAATTTGCAGTTGTGGGGTGGAGAGAAGAGTTTTTCCAGTTAACAATGTTCTAGAGAGTGTAGTAATTGTTTGTAAAGAGAGATTTCTCCTCTGGTTCCTACAGCAGGAATGAGAAATCCAAGTGTGAAACAGGCTAGGACAAGCTTTGCCTTTCGCAGCAAGTGTTTGAGTGTACTTTCCTTCTGTGTGCTTCCAAGGAAGATTTCTCCTCTCGTTCCTGCAATAGGAACAAGAAATCTAACATCAAGCTGCCACAACAGACCTCATCTTATGCAGCAAGGGAGGCGTTTAGCCCTCCTGGACTGCTGAAAGTGTGAAAATGGAACTGAGAGCTAAACAGATAGAGGCTGCTGAAATGAAAAAGGAAAAAGAGGCCAGATAAGGCTGGGTCAAGATTTTATAACCTCAGGGACTTCCGGTTGTACTCTGCTGTTGAATCGAGCAAAGTAAGGAAGCCCCCATATGCCACAATAGCCAACAAGTGAGATAGTCTTTATAATTGGTCCTTTTACATCATAAAATTTGATTTTTAAAAAGTATTTTTTTTTCACAGGAGTATTTGCAATCAACACAGAGGTTTCCTGATTTGCAAGGATCAGCTTTGATTCATGAAGGAATCAAATCCGGCTGGAAGAAATATATCTGTAGCATCCGTGGATCAGGGGTTTATTTTTGTCCTAGAAGGCAAATAAAGGTTAGTTTCAGGCAAATACTTTTATCTCATTTATATAGTGGGTAATTGCACATGAAAACGTTTGAAAAAGTCAGAATAGCAGGGTCTATACACATGATTACATTTTTTCTTCTCCTTTCATCATTATTTGTAAATGCAATGCATAAAGGGGGTGACCTCTTTTGTCAGGACTGTCTGACCAGGTTCTTGTGAGGTCTGCTCTACTCAGCTGACCTTCTTTGTCAAAATTATTTTTGTAACATCCTGCAGATGTTTCCCTAACAAGATATCATCTGACAACTAATATCACTACATCATCTTGGATATGATGGTTGACATGAACGAGAAACACTTAATCCGGATGTGCAGCTATTTGTGCAGCTGCACCAAATCTTTCCTCGAGGCTGAGTAACTGTTTTAGCAAAGTGTCCTAACTTGTTTATCTTGCCTTATGACATATTTTCTACCCTGCAGCCCTTTTCCTCACAAACTAAATGTTGTTAACCTGGTTTCGTAGCCAATGTTTGGACGAGCGTTATTCTTTACTTCTACCAATTCAGACATTTACTGCTGAAACCTGCCATCCTGCATCCATGGAGTACAACCATTCATATTCCAATTGTAAGGAGGAAGTTCTAATAAGACAGCTTTCTCCCTTTGTAGAACAGACACCCATGCGAATGCTACAATATTCACCTTTTCGAGTCAAGCTTTCATAGTTACTTGTCCTCCATATCCACTTAATCATCACTTTCGACTTATTACTCTTATATTATATCTTCATGTCACATCACTTATCTGTATCACTCTACTTTGAGTGGCTCTTGAGCCTTGTATCGCATAAATACTAGAAAAAAAATTGAAAATGTCTATAAATTTTTTTTAAAAAATAAACTGATTTTTTTATTTTTTTTATCAAAATATTTGAAATTTTTTAAATTTTGGGGAGAATGTTTTTCTTGATATTTATTTATCTGCACTTACTATTTAGAGATGAAGATATCTAATTTTTGTTTTTACATACAGGATCCTAAAAACCTGAAACCATTATGCAAATATGATAACATTGAAGTCTACACAGTAAAGCATCATTTCCAACTTGTAAAATGTCCAACCAACTTTTGTATTGCAATTAAGGTAAGATATTTACTCACACACACACACTATATATATATATATATATATATATATATATATATATATATATATATATATATGTGTGTGTGTGTACTGATTCCTTGTGGTGGGACGGTGTGTGTGTGTGCATATGTGTGTGTATGTGTACAAATGAGTTTACTAATTTCTCATAGTAAGACAGTATGTAGTATATAGACAGAATATATGCACATATATATACACGCATGCTGACAGAAACACACGAAAATGGAAATAGATCTAAGAACACACAGGGGTCATTAAAACATTAAAAGATAAAATGCCGATAAGTAATTCATCATTTCTCTTGGACCAACCTTAATTGTTTTATGACCCTTCGCGCAGAACTCTTCACTGCCAATTCAAGAAAGACATTTGGATTACTAACATAAAAACAGAGAATGTCTCATATCGAGAATATTTAACATTGAAAAACATAAGGAAAAAATTAATTATTTTTAATAATATATGGAAATCTTCGCCTTTTACCTGAAGACAGTCGCAAGACAAGAAACACGTGTAGTAAAATTATGGAAAATAAAGCATAATATTTTTTTTTTAAAAATCCACATTACAACCAAAAACGTTTGTGGCACCTCTCTTCTCTTCTTTTTAATATACACACTTTTCTCTCGTTGGAACCACTATAACCTCTTTCTTATATATATATATATATATATATATATATATATATATACATATATATATATATATATATATATAATGTGTGAATATAAAATCAGTTTCCAATCAGCACCTGATGATTGCATTGTACATGAAACTCTGAGTTGTACTACTGGTGAGAAAAAAAATCTATATTATTAATATATATATATATATATATATATATATATATATATATATCCAGGTAAGATTAGAATGAATAGAGTACAATTCCAACATTCATAACATTTAATTTAAGAGGGCTCAATACAATTCTTTATTTTAGGATATTACATCGAAAAACATGTCAACTGCAATTGTGTAGCTATTTTAACATGTTTTTCAATGTGATATCCTAGAATAAAGTATATATTTATTTATCACTTTAAACATTAGTTTATTATTGGTCCTGATCTGGCGGCTCATCTCCAGTCACTTTCCCATCACAGTAAGGTTGCCACTCTGTCTTTTCTATAAATACTTTCATGGTAATTGTTTAAATGAGCCTCTTTGCTATAGTACTTAGTTTTTGAATTTAAGTACAGCACTAGACTGGCCTTGAGATCTCTTCAATTTACAGTTGAGCTGGCTAGAGGTAGCCATAAATTGTATGCTAACAGTTTCTCTCTTACACTTTTCACTTGTGGAACTCCCTTTCAATTCCATGCTTTCCAGCCAACTTTAACCTTTATCTAGTTGGAGGCGAAAATTCTCACTGTAGAATTTTCTTCCTTTGCAGCTCTAGACACATTCTGTTGCCTTGACAGGGTTTCTATAAGCAAACATTTGTCAACTCTTATTCTCAGTATTTTAAGCTGAAAGAGCCTACTACCGCTTTGGAATGAGTCTAAACTTCTGTTTTTCGATGAAAAATGATTTTGAATTCTTCGACAATCTATATGTGGTGTAATGTTGATTAAACCTAAAAATGTCTGCATTAACATCCAATAAAGCGTTTGTTCAGTAGTTTTTTTTTTTTTTATTCAAAATCCATTGATGATTTTAACAATCTAAAAATATTTATTGATAAACCGTAAAAAACAAATCAATTAAAAATTTAGTGAAGTGCTTATGGTCCTCACATAGCCATATAGCATTCATTTCTTCTGGGTTTTTTTTTTTTTATTCTTGGGTAATCTCATGAAGGTTATTTGCCCATGCCATATTTTAATTTTTTTAATTGTTCAATGTTGAATGTAAATCTTAAATTTAAACCTAAAAGTTAATGTAAATCTTAATCCCATGGATTATTTTTTTCTTTTTTTGTTAGATGCATAGCCAAAGAGGCTGCCAATTTCAAGATTTGAAATTCATAGCTTTCGATTCTAAGCAGGATTTAGATAAATGGATTTTGGCTTTGAGACTTGCAAAAGTAAGTGTTTTATTTATTTTTATTTTATCAACCTACAAGAGTTCTGGCCATCATACGATGCTGTTTTAATGTTGTGTATATAGTTTTACTATTCTGAATAATATTCAGATTTTGTAACTTTTTGTCATCCAAACTTTATTTATAAATTAAAGCGGCCTTTCATCACATGAAGAAGGAAAGATAAAAATACATCATAATATCTTTTTCATGTTACAAAATAACTGGCAACAAACATGCACAGAGTAATTTCTAAAGAATTAATAGATTTTATTTTTAATCTGACATTATTTGTTATTACTCTAAAGAAGAAAAAAAGGAAGGTTAATTGAACCTAACTGGTCTTTAATGTATCTCTGTGGCTGAGTCTTTGAAAGCCGGTTTAACATCTTTGTTGTCATTTCTCAAGAACAAAGAAAATGGATAAATTCACTTTGATATGATTAAGTTTTATTATAATTCTAATCATTGCTTTTTAAAACCATAAACATTGCTGAGTGAAGGTAGTTAAAATAATTGACGGGTCATTACCTAGACGGTGTCCGTTTGGGATTACCAGGTGCTTGGATGTGTGGGTGGTGTAATGGATAATGGCTCAGAATTGCTAATTGGAGAACTGAGTTCCAATTCCCATTGTATTTACTTACATGCAAATACCCTTGGGAAATGTATGAATCTGCCTCTTCTCTCCCCAGATATGAGTTAATTAGTAAGACTAATTTATCTCAAAAAAAAAAATTCTTACACTCTAAAAATATTTTCTGGCTTTAAATAACCTACAAAAGGTTGGTAAGCCGTAGGAAATGAATCGATTAATTTTTAAATTCCTTTGTTTTGTTCCCATTGGTTAAATCCCAATGAGATATGTGTATTCTTTAAGTAGATAGTTGAGGTTTGCTTTATTTCCCATATCACACTGGACGATAAAACTTTACAATAGTAAATATACTGATATATGAAACAGCACCCGTTTTATGTTGTTTAGTTACTTCTATCTTGTGTCTGACCTGGATGACAACATTGGGATTTGATGACCTACAGAGGTCATTATCAGATAGAAGAGACAATTAGCTAATTCTAGCCACAATTACCTGCCATCCAACCATGACTCGGCTTTTGTTGGTTAACTTAATTCACAGTGATGAAATACATATTAATAAATATACTTAGCTTTTTGATTGTTTATCTTTGTCCCTAAGCCATTCAGTTGATTATCCATATCCCTAAACACTTTGACCATTAATCCGCTTTCCTATGCTGTTTGCCTGTTTTTCCATGTCCTTATGCTCTGCCACTGTTTAAAAGCATGTCTAAATCCTTTGACTGTTTATCCATGTTATCCTAAAGACCTTTTGCTGTCTGTTCACATCGTAAAGCCATATGGCTATTTAATTGTATCCTGAAACCCTATGGGTATCTAACCATATTCTGAAGCGCTTTGGCTATCTAACCATATTCTGAAGTGCTTTGTCCACACCCTGAAACCCTTTGGTTGTTTGTATCCTGAAGGCTGTCAATCCACATTCCAAAGTCGTTTGGTTATTTATTTACATCCCAATTCTCTTAAGCTATTTATCCATGGCCATAAGCCTTTCTTTGACATAGCAGCATAAGCATTTGGAACTGATTGGCATCAAAGAATTTCTGCAATCAAATCTTCTTAATTAGTTTACAGTTTCTGATGTCTCCAAAATTGGAGGCATCATCTAAAAAGTCAAAAGTTTATATTGATTTTTATTCATGTTTTATCTTTTTCTTATTTCTTAGCATGGTGAACAGCTACGGGAAAACTACAGGAAAGCCTTACGTCTAAAAGCTCAATTACAAAAACTCCAAGGTCAATCATGACATACTTATAATATCGGAGATATTCAGAGTACCATTTTCGAATGAAATTCCATTTATTTGTATTTGAAAAGGTAACAATTCAGGATTACCCAGTTTAAAGAAAGAAAAACAGATTTAAAACTACTTTGACAATTGCATAATTGCTATATATGCAGCTTTTGTTTGTTTGCAATTTTCTATCTATGTGGAGGAGGTTGTAACAAACTGTTCTCAATATGATTTGGATACCTTTTGTTTCTCATGAATATATTTGCATCCAGTTGATACTGTAACAAAAAGAACTTTGGTTACTTGAATTGGAATTCCTGTCTTCCACTCCATGACACTCACCAAATTGAACATTCCTGATACCACTCGGCTGCTGATAATGTATAAACCCTGGCATTAAATGAACAGGTGCAGAAAGCCATGATGAAAAGAACAATTTAATAAAAAAATTATTTAAACCTAAAATCAATTGTACACAGTTATCAATGAAATAAGCACAGTTTAAAACTTGACATTTGTAAATAAAAATGTAAGGTTAAGTCAGGAATTGATTTGATGCTGTACTTGTATCATGAACACGACCCCCCCCCCTTTGACAAATATGGCTTCAGGAAGGTCTAATAAATGCTAAATTACAAAAATTATTCCCCAAAACCTTTTTCTCTTATTTTTTTCATATAAATTGACCAATCAATTTCATGCTAATTGATTTTGGTGATACACTCTAATTTGTACCAAATATTGATTCATTGTATTAAAAAAAGACTTTCATTTGAAAAAAAAACAGTTTTTGAAGGTTCCTCAAGAATCTCTTAAGAATTCTTGTTTTTATTTGCCATTCCAACATCTGAAACAAAAGGTACTGATGAATAGTGTGTGTGTATATATATATATATATTAAGATATATTAAGATATTTTTATGTTTATACATTCATTCATTTTTTTATAGATACAAATATTTAAGTAAATGCTCTGTTTTTATAATAAACTGTATTAAACAACATTTACTGGCCTGAATGTCCGAGAAATTTTCATAGAAAATTTTTGTCCCTCGACAGGAATCGAACCTGTATCCTATATGTAACCATCATATAGCCTGACGTGCCTTAACTGTTTCAGCCACAGAGGAGCATTTGGTTAGCAAGGTTGAATTTACTGTCTTTAAACTTTAATCTTCCATGAATCTCTCAGGTACATTCACATCTGCTTATGGTGTATCAAATGTAAACAAATGATGTCACACATTATGAATGGACAAAGTCTGACAATTATTTTTAACACATATATATATATATATATATATATATATATATATATATATATATATATATATATTTTAATTCAATTAGAAGGGTCCATTGATTATATTATTTCCCCAGGAAAAAAGCATAAAAAATGGTTTTAAATTTACGTATTATTTTTATACACTTTTGAGGCGGGGTAGTTTTAAGTTGATGTAGGATGATAGAGAGAGGAGGAGGAAGACGATGACAGATATGGTTGAAATTAGAGAAGCAAGGGTGGGATAGGAATAATTTTAAATCTATTTTTATTAAAATACTTAAGAGTAAGGGAGGTGGGTAAGGACCAAACATTCACCTATTTAATAAGTCATCTCACAGGAAACGAGACAAAGAGAAAAAAAAAGAAAATATATAAGAAAGCAAATGGGAAGCAGGAGTGTGAGAAGAAAAGTGGAGAAAGAAGAAAAGGAAGAATAAATTAACATATATATGCATATTGCGGTTAATTTCAAAAAACACAGATTGATATATTTTGCAGTTAACGTTTGACATTAATTTAAAAGTTATCAACAAAATAAAATGGGGAAAAAAAATAGTGTGAATATAGGATAAACAAAAAATATTAATATAGATAACAAATAAGGAGTAAAAAAATTTATAATTAAAATCTAAAATGTCAAATTTTAAATTGTAAATCTTAAATTTATAATTTAAAATTAAAATATAAAATAACCTAAAAAAATTTTAAATAGTATCGAAAAAATTATAAAGTAATATCGAAAAATATATTGGAAAAAAATTATAATATCGAAAAACATTTTGAAATGAAACAAGATTTAAAAATGATATTATTTTTATAATAATAATAATAATAATAATAATAAACTACCAATGAGAGGAATAACAGTAGTCATAATGATGAAACAGTAATATTAGATCAGTTATAACACATTTAACCATAAATATTCTTGCATATATGTACATATAAACACACACACATGCGCAGATACTTATACACCCACCACACATATATATTCATATATACATACATACATATACACATACATATAGTTCCATTTCATCCTCAAGTGAATTTCGCTTGAGGATGAAATGGAACTAATGTCTTTAATTTAATCACAAAATTAAATTCGTGGCTTTTAGCTTCCATTTTTGAAACATGGTTAGAACTGTGTAGCGAAAAAAAAAACATATTTTAAATCAATTAATTTATAATATTAATGCTCTGTAAATTTACATTGAGCACTATTTTGTAAAAATAAAAATATCTATAAGAACACCGGATTATATATCTTGCTGTTCTTTCTTTTTATTTATATATATATAATATTATATTTATGCTCTACTTTTGTATCGAGCACTAAAAAAATAATAACAAAAATACTAAAGAACTTTGGATTATTTACCTAACAAGTTCTTTCCTATTTTCTATATATTTTCATATATATATATATATATATATATATATATATATCTTCACACACACGTACATGCACATACACACATATACATCCACACATATCTATACATATATATCTACACACACGTGTGTATATATATATATATGTGTGTGTGTATATATATATATATATATAATGTGTGAGTGTGTATGTATGTCTCCACATATACAAATACACGCAAGTAAATACCCCCATATATAAAAGCTTGCATACACATACACCCATATATATATTTATACATATAAATACCATACAATTACCTACGAATGTCAACACAATTATATGAGCACATATCAACACACATATGCCCATATACAAATATCTATACACATATATAATATAACATAAGCAATTAAACCTATATATATATAGAGAGAGACACCAGGTGTTATTTCAAGTCTAGATAATTTAAAATTCTGGAGTTTCCATGGGGAGGCCTCCCAAATATTAGATGTAGTTATTTCAAGACGATGTCTGTGCCTGCATTTAATGATAATTTCATTGTGGTGATTTAGTAATTCCTCAGGTTCATTATGTTTGATTATTAAGATTTTCTCCTTAATGCAAAGGTCACATCTGTCTCTAAAGTTTCTAGGAGTTCGAGCCCTAGAGATAATTCTTCATTTCACCTGTGGGGTGAAGCCGCTTTCCACTAGATCCCAATAGTATTTAGACAGCACTATTTGGTGTTTAAGGGACTCATTAGTGAAGGAATGGCAATGGTTATAAGGCGCTGCTTCCAATTCCCAGCAGATATTCTAATATAAATCTTTTTTTGGTTTGTATTCTCTTTGGTGAAGATGGTGGCTTTGTATACCACATTTTCTGTCATACATAATCCTCCCACTGGGCATTCAGTTTTTACCCTGCAATTACAGGTAGAAGTATTTTTTGTAATTGATTAGCATTAAATTCTCTAATAATATTATTATTGTGGGAATTTATAATTTTCTCCACATTGTTCACACATGAGTAACTAATTTTCGAGTTCATTTTATTAAAAATATTGAATAATATAGACATATTGTGTCTACTTATTTTTATACTGATCCTTTCTAGTTGTTTAATCAGTTCCTTGATGTTAAAATGAAATTCATCAAGGAAGATGCTGTAGTTTTTGTTAACCCAAGTACTTTCGATCTTTTCCAAAATAATCTTCAGGGGTAAATTACTAAGACAAACTTATTGGAACTGCAATAAAATCTGTATTCCATTGTGATGGTGATTTTTAAAAATATGCACGAATATGATCTGTTATAGTTATTTTAAATTTATCCATTTCACTATAAGGGAGCAGACCAGAAATTGGTAGAAATGTTATATCACTTTAATATGTTGTTGCTTTATTAGTAATAAAATTTGTTGAGTGTTGGCTGATTTTGATGTAAAGGGCCTTGAGAATTTGCAGATTTTATTGCAATTATGACAAGTTTGTCTCTGTAATTTACCTCTGAAGATGATCTTCGAAAAGATCAAAAGTACTTGTGTTGAAAAACACTATGGCACCTTCCTTGGTGAGTTTCATCTCACATCAAGAAACTGAGTAGATAACGGTAAATGCTCAGTATAAAAATAAGTAAACACAATATGTCTATATTATTCAATGAAACATGTTTGAATATGCTGCTTAAATATTACATACTGTTATGGGACCTTACCCATAATAACATAATAGACTATTCCATACGTAATAAATACTGCACCTCAAGAGGAAGCAGAGAGTTCAGTCTGAAGTCTGGAGTGAGGTCCGTCAGTAGTTCGTCAGGAGTTTGTCAGTCAGTCAGAGCAAGCGAGTCAGTCAGTCGAGTCAGAGGCAGTCCAAAACAGAGTCGCGTTCAGACAATTACTACAAGACATTGGAATAGTGATACTGGTTGAGACTACATTGTTCTCCCTACTAAACCTGATTGTTCGTACTAACACTTTCTACTTCTCTGTATATATTCCTGTTTGTAATATATCTGTGTTATTCCATATCCGTGTTCGAGTTCTTTATTGGTTCTACCTTGGACCATCACCATGATACAAGGTCCTGGACCATAACACATACATACACACACACACACACACACATATATATATATTTATATATAGGCAGTATATCTTAATTCAAACATGTTTTTATTTATACATATATATAAACATGTTTGAATGAAGATATGCTGCCTATATATATATATATATATATATATAAGACCTCAATTGAACTTTGTAGTTAAATAACCTTCAATATTGTACTCAACATTAATTAGCTAAACTTACCCTTTTTATTATGGAA